GGATTGACTTTGTCATAAATGTAAAGGGTACTATGCATCCATCTTATACTTAACTAAATTTGGATAACACTTTTTGCTTGGATCACTCCTTAAAAATTTATTTTTTAGTAAGAAGAAGCATCTTTTGTGGACTTCACACTAAATTTACAGTCAGGAGAACACTGCTTTGCCACTAACTAGTTGTGTAACTTTGAGAAAGTCACTTCACTTGTCTGGGCCTTGGTTTCTTCTGCAAAATGACTGGTAACTGGGCTAGATAATCTCTAGAGTCTTTTCTAGTTCTAATACCCTCTGAACTGTTTCCCCAACTGGATTTTAAACTGAAGGACTGTGTCTAGTACTGTTTTGTATTCCTAGTGACTTTTAATGCCCCATATAACATGGTTTGACCTAAATATTTGTTGTTGACACACTTCCAGTTATATTAAATATGTAAGTATTGGATTAGAGTGGTAGGGATAGAATGGAGGGTTAGTGCAGCCTTGGGGAAGTTAGAACTAACCTACTTTTTGTTTGTCATCTTTAAAATGAGGGAGTTGGACTTGGTGGTCTCCAAGTTTCCTTGTAGCTTTAAATTTGTGATCTTATCATAAGATACAAGAAAAAAGAATCGGCAGAATTTACTCATTGAGTATAATATAGTAGACAGAGTCTTGCATTTGGAGTCGGGAAACTTGGGTTCAAATCCTGGTACTGAACTTCCGTGAATTTGTGGTTCTGAGCAGATGCTCTCTGAGCATTGGTTTCCTTGTCTGTAGTATAATAATACTTATACTTTCTATCTCAGATTATTGTGAGGATGTTACTTTTTTTGAGTAAACTTTAAAGGTCTATACAAATATGAACTATATATAGAATGAAAGAAAGATGTTAGTTGAAGATGACTGCAAGTGTTAAGCCTGGGTGAATGGAAGAATTGTTGTGTCATAGAAAAAAATAGGATAATTGGAAGGAAAGATGTTTGACTAGGTAAATGGTAAGTTTTTTCTTGTGACAGATTGAGTGGAAATGTCTAGTAACAAACTGGATGTAAAGGCCTGAAAACTTATATGACATACCAGGATTGGAGAAAGAGATTAAGGAGGCATCAACGTGATGGTAATTGTGGAACAGCTCTCTCAGGAAGACAGTACAAAGGGAAGTGGAGTTGAGCATTGTCTCATACATTGCTTAAGTCAGAAGAGAAGCTGGTGGCAATAGCTGCAAACATATGATTATTTCCTCTAACATATATGTAAAATGTTACTTTATATTTGATACTGTTATAAAATTAATTGTGTTTAGATGGAAAAAAATTGAGGCAATATTTTTAGAAGCGGGAAAGTTTTGTTAGGAATAGTATTTAGAGCTAGAAGGGACCTTAGAAGTCATCCTACCTCATTGATAAGGAAACTGAGTCCCAGAGAGGTGATGACTTACTTAAAGTCGAAGAATAAGTAGCGTACAGCCTGAGTTTGTATCCAGGTCCTTTGACTCCACATCCATATTTTTCTTCTTGTTAAATTTCATTTTTGTTCATGAATTATATACTAAAATTTATTCCACTCAAAATTAGAGAATATTAGAGTTGGAAGGGACCCTTAGAGATCATCTGATCTAAATCAGTTTACAGATGAGCAAATTAAGACGCACAGTCTCACAGCTAGATTTGGGGCTAATCTGAAGCTAGGGGCTGGTATCCTGATAGAAGTCAGTTTTAGTGGATTATCCCTTCCTTTCAGTGTGCTTTGTGAATTTCATGAATTTAGTGCATTTGCAATTCAACCTACTTTACTTTTAAACTACATTTTTATTGTCCTTTTATCTTTTATTAATTTATTTTGATTTATGAACAATCACTTCCATAAGCTTTTGAGTTTTAAATTTTTCTCATTCCCTCTCCATCTCCCTCTCCAAGACGGGCACGCAATCTGATATAGGTTATACATATACATTCCTGTTAAACATATTTTCACATTATTGATATTGTAAGTAAGAATTAGAACCAATAGGAGGAACCACCAGAAAGAGGAAACAAAACACAACAGAAGAAAAAAAAATAGCAAATAGTATGCTTCATCTGCATTCAGACTCCATGGTTCTTTCTTTGGATGTGGATAGCATTTTCCAAAATGATGCCTTAGATCCTCGTATTGCTGAGAAGGGTTAAGTCTATCAACGTTAGTCATTGCACGATGTGGCTGTTACAGTGTACAACGTTCTCCTGGTTTGTCCTTTTATTTTTACAGAAGCTTTATTTCCTGCTGAATTCTTCTCACTTTCCCCTTTTAGAGAGCCATGCCTTCTAATAGGGGGTAGAGACTAGACCTGTGATTTCAATGATATATGGAGCTCCTTCTTAAGGAAATTTCTTCTTTTAATGCTATTCAGCACCTTCTCTGCATCTTAGAGTCTTAGTCTGAAAGGTTAAATGACTTGCCCTGGGTCACACAGCTGAGGAGGGAGTTGAACACATCCCATTCTTCCTGGTTTTGACTTTGGCTCCATACTACTATGCCATACTGTGAAATCAACCAGTTTATTGAAAAAAGATTCTGTTTACTTTAACATAGATTTTTGGGGGTTTTTTTGCCATTGAGAACTATTAATCATGTTTGCACTTCACAACCTCCTACATTATTTGTTCTTTGTGATTTTAAGGACTTGGTTTTGTAAATTTCCTTTTATTTAAAAAAATTTTTTTTGCTACTATAACAGAAACTATTAAAGTAACCAATATCCTAGAGTGGAAGGTGGCTGTAAACATTCTTTCCCAGTATGCTGTGATTGTGCTTTAGGCAGAAGGTATTTTACAGGGAATAAAAGTTGATTAGAAATTGATGTTAAAGGTACAGAGCTAATAACCATGTATGTAAAGATACTATATTATGGCATATCAGTGAATATAAAGAGCCAAGTAAAGATCCCTGGGAAGTATTCAGAGCTAGAGAGTAGGTTTGGGATTAGGTATAGCATCTGGCAAAGTAAAAACTAATGATGAAGGAATGCTTGGAAAGATATGAGCATTAGAATAGAAAAAAATAGCTTGAACCAGAAATAATGGACAAGTAGATAGAGTTAGTAACAGGCACAATTTGAATAAGGTACTTTTTGACTTTATTCCTGTGGTGCTTGTATCAATATTGAAGTCCACAGACTTTCAGTATAGGAGAGAGGCATGTAGTTTTAATGTCTGCCTCTTTTGAATTTTTGTGCTATTTAAGTTGGTTTAACTTGTTACGTATCTTTATTTTTATATGCTTAACTTACGTTAATTTTTGAATTAACCAAGTAGCTAAAAAATTATAGAAATTAAAAACCAGAAGGAATCTTGGTGTCTTAGTCCAACCCTCTCATTTTATAATGAAGAAACTAAGATTCAGAGGGATTGTTTTTTCCTACATCAAACCGGGTAGTTAGTGACTATTAGAACTAGTACCTAGATAGATAAATTGATGAATGATAGATCTTATAATGAGATGTTGAGGGAAATATATGACTAATAAGAATAATGACTGAATTTATGTAAAGCATTATTTACAAAGTACTTTCACCACAACAATCCTATGAATTAAAAACTGCAGATGCAATGAGGACACTCAGGTTTTTAGAGTTTATGTGGTTTACCTTTGGTCATACTGTGTTGGAACTGGAACTGAATCTTTTAAGGCTTATATCAGGGGAAGACAGTACTGGGAAAGATTAGCGCTGGCTAGATGTATGAATTCTAGTATGCATACTGGAAGGTGTGTAGAAGACTAAAGATGACATTCCATAATTTGTTTTCCTTGTTAATATCTTGTTTATTGGTGAAGGATACTAGTAGCTAAAATTAGGTTTTTGGACTATCTTTCAATCTTGTTTCTCTTTTCCCTGTCCTGTGTAAACGTGGATAATAAAATAGGCTCTTGGTGTTAATACTATTGCTGTAACACTATATATTCCTTTTTCCCCAGTTCAGTGTTGATGGCATTTATTAAATGTGCTCTGTACTTCGAATACTCTTGGGGATACAAAGATAATTAAGACTGTACCACTGAGGTCTATTCATTTTAGTAGGAGGGAAAGTATACACACATGTATATGAGGACAAGCCTGTGTGTGTGTGTGTGCGTGTGTACATACGTATGTACGTACATACGTACATATACAAATATCTATATTAGATAGAATGGGAAAAGTTCCATGAAGATATAACTGCTCTGCTGAGATGCCCTCCCAGGATAATCTAATCACTCCAAATCTCATCATCATGCTGCTAACTTAATTCCTTCCCACTTGCCTCAGCCTCCTTTCCCTTATTGGCGGGCTGGAGGGTGGAACCTCTGCCAAAGCTTTCCTAAGGAGACAGCTTGTTGACTTTCCATCTTCAGCTCTCTTTGCAACATGATGCTCACGGGCTCCCCTCCTCCCATTCTTTTTATGTTTTGTCTTCCCCTGTTAGATTATAAAGGGACAGCTAGGTGGCTCAGTGGATAGATCACTGGACTTGGAGTCAGGAAGACCTGAATTCAAATCTAGCCTCAGACACTTAACTAGCTGTGTGACCTTGGGCTAGTCATTTGACTTCTGTTTGTTTTAATCCACTGGAGATGGAAGTGGCAGACCACTCCAATATCTTTGCCAAGAAAACCCCATGAATAGTGTTAGTATGATATTGTCCATAGGGTCACAAAGAGTTTGACATGACTGAGCAACAAACAACATGAGGTTGTAAACTTCTTGAGGGTAGGGACTGTCCTTTTTCTTATTTGTATCCCCAGCACCTGACAGTGCCCGACACAGAGTAGGTGCTTAGTAAGTGTTTATTGAATGGAATAATAGATCCTTTGGGCTGTTATAACTAAAGTTCTGACAAATCTTTGAGGTGGTTTACAGTATGATCATATGGAAGATAGGGTTTTATTAAGATTGGAATGTATTTGGTCCCTTATTTTAGCTTAGATGTTTCTGCCCCCCAAAATGCTGTACTTTAACAAATTAAGTTCATAATTTTATATTCTAATCTGTTTTCTTTTTAGTACCAAGATAAAGAAGAAGTTGTTTTATGGATGAATACTGTAGGACCATACCACAATCGCCAAGAAACATATAAATACTTCTCACTTCCTTTCTGTGTGGGATCGAAAAAAAGCATCAGCCATTACCATGAAACACTGGGAGAAGCACTTCAAGGAGTTGAATTGGAGTTTAGTGGCCTAGATATAAAATTCAAAGGTAAATATTTCAGAATTTGTAAATTATAAATTGAGCACTAAGAAATGCTTTAATCTGTAAGATAAATATTTACTTAGAAAATTCTGCACGTGATTTAATAAAGATTTCCATTGAAACATTTTGAAAAAACTTAGTAGCTAGACTACTTTTGTAATCTGTTTAGGAAATTTAGAAAAATGTTTTCATAGAGTTTAAGTGATATTTTTTTTCTAGCAACCTGCAAATATTCTTTGAGTTAATAGGAAACTGTATTGAGGGAACTGGGTATGGATGGTTAGCTTGGAGAAGAGAATACTTTACTGTCTTCAGGTGTTTAAAGGACTATCCTATGGTGGAAAGATTTGGCTTGTTTTGTTTGCTTCCACAAGGCAGAGCCAGGAGCTGTGAGTGGAAAATGTAAAGAGACCAATTAAGGATTGCTGTCAGGAAGAACTGTTAATAGTTAGAGCTGCCCAGCAGTGGTTTGGGTTGCTTTGTGAGGTGATGGAGTGGGAGGGGAAGCGTGTGATAAGTTCTTGCTCTGTGCTGAGCACTGGGGATACAAATAGGACAGCAAGGATGTGCCAGTGTTCAAATTGGTCACATTCTCATTGGATGAAACATCACGTAAAGGAGGGTGCATTTTCACAACAATTGGAATGACTCAGTGGCTTTCAGGGCCTGGCAGCAAAGTAGCAGGCAAGATAGTGGGGCCATGAGGACTATAGGGAACAATAGCAGGGGAAATCCGGGATTCCTCTGGAAGCGATGGCAATAAGATAGGGTGTCCAGCATTGGTGGAGAGTGGATAATATGCCTTTTGTCGGGAAAAGGGAAAGATTGACTGCTGGTGGTGCTCATCTGTCCTCATTCCTTTTTTTAGGCTAGGGCAGGGGAAGGGAAGGTCCTTCCCCTCTTTGGTGGTTGGCTACTGGTGGTTCTGGTCTGCTTTGGGGTAGATAATATTTAAATATGTAGGAGCTAATGAGATTACTAGGAAAGGACCCAGGACAGCAAGAGCTTTGGACTTACCCACAGTTAAGGGATGGGATGTAGATGATGATTTATTTAGCAGGTAATAATAATGAATCAGACAAGAGGAAGAAGACCTGGAGAGAATAGTGTCAGAAAAACTCAGGAAGGAGGGTTAAACAGTGTCAGATGCAGAGGAGTCAGTAAAGTTGAGGATTTAGTGATTAAAGATCATTGGTAATATTGGAGAGAGCTATATGAGTTGAATGATGAGGTCAGAAGCCAGATTGAAAAAGATTGAGAAGTGAGCTACAAAGAGATTTTGCACTTTGAATGAATGGAATATTTGCTTAGGAGCTGGAGGAAAGAATAGTTATGACATGATGACAATTTTTTCATTTTTAGCTCCTTTTTTGTGTATTGAATACCAAGTCTGATTTTTTTATTTACCTAGAAGCTTAATTATTTCTGAATTATATCCATATATTTGATTGAATTTAAGTTCCTTAAGAGCATGGACTGTTTCATTTTTGTCTTTTTATCCCTAGTGCCTAGAATAGTTGCAGTTATATAGTTTAAAAAAGCATTGGCAGTGTGATTTGGTAGGGGGAAGCACTGTATTGTCAGAGTACTTGGGTTCACATTCTCATATTGCTACTAAATGCCTTTGTGACCTTGGAGAAATGTGTGTGTGTGTGTGTGTGTGTGTGTGTGTGTGTGTGTGTGTGAGTGAGAGAGAGAGAGAGAGAGAGAGAGAGAGAAAGAGAGAGAGAGAATTGATTGTGTTCCTCAAGAAAAGTCATCTATTGTACCTAATTCTTTGGTCATTTTTCAACAAATTCTTTAGAATTTCCATATTCAAATCACATAAAAACTTGTGATTTCATCACCATAGGCTCCTTTCACTGATGTAGATACTAAGCTACCTATAACTTAGTATCTTTGTGAGTTTTGGGAAGCCCAGGATGGGAAATGACTTGCCCATGGTCACCTAGTTAATATGGGTCAGAAGTGAAATCTGAAACCATGTCTTCTTGACTTCACATCCAGCATTCTCTTCTATCCATTATTATTGTGTTGCCTTATCATATAGTGCAAGGAAAGAGTGCTGGATTTGGAGTAATTGGATTTGCATTGAAATCTCAGTTCTGCCACTTAACTACCGAGGTAACTGAGTCACCTTATTTCTATGGGCCTTTCTAAACCTCTGTAAAATGAGAGAGTTGAAGAAGATGACTTTTTTTGGGATCATAATTCCAGATTCCTTTCCAGAATAATTGGACCAGTTCACAGTTTCACCAATAGTGTGTTAGTATGCCTGTCTTTGCAGCTCTTCCAACACTGACTGATTGAATCATTTGTGACCTTTGCTAATTTGGTGGGTAAAATCTCAGATATTTTGATTAGCATTTCTCTCATTATTAGTGATTTGGACCAGTCTTTCATATGGTTTGCCAATAGTTTGTTATTTTTTGAGAACTATTTTTGGACAACTTTTTATATGACTTATTAACAAGTTTACTTAAAAATGGTTTATTTCATAGGATCAGAATTACAGATTTCAAGACCCATTTCTCCTTTAGGAGCTTGTGCATTTTATTCTGATAGATATGTTATCAGTTCCACATAGATTTTGAATGTTGTATCTTTATGTGATACTTGTGCTGCAGACATCTTCTTTAATCTGTTTCCTTTTATTTTAGAGATGCTACTTTTTGTTGAGTTTTTTTAATCTGTATAATCTCATTAAAAATTTCTTTTAATTTTTTTGGTTGATGAAAAATTTTCTTTTTCTCCATAGTTGAGGTGAATAGATCATTTTCTTTTTTTCTTTTAGTTTGTGTGTTGATTTAAAAAAATAAAATCTTTAGTGAAGTTAAAGTTTTTATAGTATATGTGTGGTGTGAGATTTGCCCCTGAACTCAATTTTTGCCATATAACTTTACAAATGTACTATCAGTTTTTTTAAAAAATGAGTTTTTATTGATATCTTTGGCTTTTATATCACCATAATTTCCTCCAGTGTCCCTCCTTCCATATGTAGAGCTATCCCATATATAACAAATGATATTTTTTTTAAGGGCAAAAAGAAGAAAAGCAGCATAACTATTCAGTTTATTGAAAAAGTCTGAAAATACTCTATCTTCCAAACTAACACATAACTAAAAAACATATAGAGAGGCTTTTTGTGTAGTGTGTACACAATAGACACTTGTATTAAATTGTCTGCTTTCCTCCTGGTAATACAACTTCAAATAATTTTTACCTTAGAAAAATTTGAAAAATTTATGTGTCCTACTTATGGCTTTCCCACTTCTGCAGAAGAGTAGGAAGGGGGGTATCTCCTCATATTTCTTTCTTTCTTTTTTTTTTTTGAGCCATGTAATTCTGCAACATTTACTTTTGATAGTTTTTTTTGGTTTGTTTTTTCTTTTTACACTGTCGTAAGCCCTTGTGTAAGGGTCAGCTAGTTGGCACAATGGCTAGAATGCCGGACCTGGAATCAGGAAGACTGAGATCTTCCTGAGGTCAAATCTGTCTTCAGACACTTAGTAGCTGTGTGACTCTAGGCGAGTCACTTAACCTTATTTGCCTCAGTTTTCTTACCTGTAAAATGAGCTGCAGAAGAAAATGGCAAATAACTTCAGTATCTTCGCCAAGAAAACCCCAAATTGCGGTCACGAAGAGTTGTACACAACTGAAAAAACGACATAACAACAACAGTCATTGTGTATGTTGTTTTTTCTTGAGTTCTACTTAACTCTTAATCAGTTTATTTAGATCTTTTCATGTGTCTCTGTATTCATCATATTCATTTCTTTCAGCACGATAATATTGTTATATTCAAGTGCCAAACTTTGTTTACTCATTCTCCAATTGACGTGCATCTGTTTTGTTTCCAATTCTTTGCTTTCATAAAAAGTGCTGCTATAAATAGTTTGTTGTATATGAGGAATATTAGGACTTTCTTCTTAAAGTGGCCTTCTTGGGGTGTAAGCCCATAAGTATATGGAGTATAAATAGCGGAATCTCTTGGTCAGAGAGTTTGGATATTTTAGTCAATTTATTTATGTGATTCCAAATTCCTTTTCAAAATGGTTTTACTGATTCATAGTTCTACCAGGAGTACGCTAATGTGGCTATCTTCCTCCAGCCCCTGCAAGGGGGGTTGAATATTCCTAACTTTTGTCCTTTTGTGAGATGTAAAACTTCAGAGTTGGTTTAATTTGTATTTCTTTTATTATGAATGATTTGGACCATTCTTTCATACGGTCGTTATAATGGTTTGCAATTCTTCTTTTGAGAACTGTTTGTATCCTTTCACCATTTATTGGGCCCCGGCAGGTTTTGGTTTTGGTTTTGGTTTTGGTTTTGGTTTTTTTGGAATAAGGATTCCAGTCCCTAGGGGTGGTTAATTATGGCTCTTATCATTGATTTTTTTTATATACAGTAGGTTCTGTTTGTAAGTTCTCTATTTTGTGAAGAGCTCTTCATAAAATATCTGTGTAAGAGGGCATATCATAAAGTTGAGAGAAGGGTTATATAAGATTAAAAAGGTTTATCATTCATAATCAAAGAGACTATTATAAGATAGAATGGAAGTTCATATCATATTGACTTCTCTGTCTTCTGCACCTTAGAAGAGAAGAATTGTAATGTTAATGTGTTTTTAAGTTGGGAAGAGCCAGTGGAGGAGAAAAGCCTAGAAAAATTTGCTCATTGTCATATTATTTGGTCTCCTGAGCCCATTATTTGAAACAGTTTATGTTATTGCAGTCTTATCTTCATAAGCACATTTTTATTATTCCCTCACACTTTCCTAACCTGTTTTTAAAAAATGTATATTGATGTCATTTGTTTTTACATCACCTATGTTTTCCATTATATTCTTCCTTACCTCCTTCTAGAGAGCTATCCCTTATAAAAATTTAACAAAACTAACCAAAATATAAAAAAAAAAGTCTGGTATTATATTTGGTCTTCCACATCTTTGGTTCCTCTGGGGTAAGGTATCTTCTCATATCTTCTTTGGGGCCTAGCCTGGTCATTATAATTTCACAGTATTCAGTTTTGATTGTTTTGTTATTCTTTCTGTTTATATGATAGTCATATATGTTGTTTCCCAAGGCAGCTACATGGCATAGTGGATAGAGTGCCAGTCCTTAAGTCAGGAAGACTCATCTCCCTGAGTCCAAATCTGGCCTTGGACACTAGCTCTGTGGCAAGTCACTTAACCCTCTGTGCTTCAGTTTCCTCATTTGTAAAATGAGCTGGAGAAGGAAATGGCAAACCCTTCCAAATCTTTGCCAAGAAAACCCCAAATGGGGTCACAAAGAGTTGGACACGACTGAAACAACTGAACAACAACAGTGTGGGTTCCCTGGTTTACCTACTTTGTATGTTGTGTTCACATAAGTCTTTTCCGTGCTTCTCTGTATTCATGACATTTATTAAAATATATGCTTCTTAAGGAAGATTTCTTTAAAATATACACACATAGTGCTTTCATCTTTGTTGGTAGTTTGAGAATGAATTTACCAGCCACAGTTAAATAATTTAGTGGCTGAAAGAAAAATTACTTTAATAAAAAATCATTTTATGGGTAAAATTGAAAACCATAATTTTAAAATACATTCTTCTTTCAGAATTATTAAATAACTTCAGATTAGTCTTTTTAAGAATAAACCGATGATCTATTCATCCTTATTAAAGTTGGTAGGCAGTATATTGATCATTCTAGTCTTATCTTACCATTATTCCTCTCCTATTTTACAGAAGATAAAACTGCAGAAAAGTTGTTAAATCAGAAAATAACAAGCATAGGGGAAATGACTTTTTTCATGTGTGTTTTTCATTGTATACCTCACAAATAAGTTTGTGGTCTAATTAGACTATTTTAACTTAAGCAGATGACGTGCAGACCAACTACTGTGAGATTGACTTAGACAAAGCAAAAAGAGATGCTTTTGTATATGCTATCAAGAATCACTACTGGTACCAGATGTACATCGATGATTTACCAATATGGGGTAAGTAATATACAATTTAAAGTGTATTTTGACATTTTCATGATCAGCATTATTTATTTAATCACTTTGCACTGAATCGGTTACTGCCTTTAGTGATTAAAGTAATTCTCTACTCTGTACATGTTTACATTATGTATAAAAATAATTTATTTACCATGTTGTCATAGTCCCCTATTACTAATTATGAGTAAGCATCATTCTTATTAAGACTGAATTATGAGAAAACTAAATCCAACATAGACCTTCCAAAGAAAACAACACATTTTACAGAGTGAAACAAAGTTAATTTGAAATTCAGAGGTTTAAAATAAACTTGAAGTTAAAGTAATTTTGAGGTGATTGTTTCATACAATGGAAAGGTGGGTTTAAATATGATCTGGCTAATGTTGGCTCTTGATTAGTAATATGGTATGGTTAAGCTCTTGTGAATATCCTTAGTTTTGCTGTTTCTTAAGTTTTTTCCCAAAAATTCATGTTCGATTTAAATACTTTTCAAACAGTTAGCCTTTGATAAGCTATGCTAGTCAGGGAGTTTAGTGTATAAAATTCATAATGATATATAATCCAAAAGTTATTTAGCTTTAGAGTATTTTTGGACTTAGATTTGAATTTTTAAGTGCCTGCTGTTCCTGAAATATATAGTGCTTATAAAATATGCTGTGAAAATCTGACTGAGGAACATTTGGAAAGTTGTCTGGCTTCCTCATTCAGTCCCATTCAGTTATTTGCTGTTTACCAATCTCTCCATACTGGATAGGAATACATAAAATCTTCTATTAGGCAAATAAAGAACACCCAAACTTAACCTTCCTAGTTTAAGCAGACATTCTGTTTAGTTCATCCTTTTCCTCGGCTAGGGGAAGTAGGGGTAGATGGAAATGAGGGCAGCAATTAATGTTTTGGTTTAAAAAGCCTCTTCCTAGTAACTGAGTTAAATATAGGGCAGGAACTTTAAACTTTGGCTCCAGATTACATTTATTACATTTTAGCTGATTCAGCAGTTAATTTCATCTTATAAAACTAAGACATTAAAAAAACCATTTACGTAGCCTTTGAGGCAACATGTCTACCTTTTGGTAAGAAGACAAATGTTTAGTTTTAGCCCGAAGGTGAGAAATTTTTATTTAAGCAAAATATTTGTGGCTTAGATTAGCATAAATAAGTGTGTACCAAATACAAATTACACAGTCAATTATCTGGGGTTTTTCACAGGCAATTTCTGTTGACTGTGATACTCTTAGACTATGGACAGGGACAAATCTAGGGATCATTATTCTCTCTTAATTGCTTTAAATTGTGAGTGAGTAGCCATGCCATTCAAGCAGCCTTCCATGAAAACTGAGCGTTTGGTTTTGTGTTGTAATCACATAACATTTTCAGTGTGGTTAGCCTGGCATACACTTACTAATATACATAATTGTTGTTTTGAGTGGTGATTATGTGTGAATAGTAAACAGTTCCCATAAATGTCCATACAGAGTATTATGGTGACAGCATGATGTAGTTGAATAAGCCTTGGATTTGGTATCAAAACAACTGGGTTCAACTCCCAGCTACGTTGCTTGGTCTGTGACCTTGGGCAAATCACTTCTTTCTGGGCCTCATTTTCTTTTTCTGTAAAATGAGATTGTTGAACTACATGATCTCAGAGATCCCTTCCAGATCCCAATAGTCTGTTCTTCTCAGACAAGGTTCTTTTTTTAAAAGTTTTTCTCATATATATATATATATATATTTTCCCAGTTACATGTAAAAAACAATTTTTAACATTCTTTTTTTTTTAAATTTTGAGTTCTAAATTCTCTGCCACCCTCCTCTCACCTCTCCTTGAGAAAGTAAGCAGTTTGACGTAGATTGTACATGTGCAGTCGTTGCAGAACATATTTCCATGTTAGCCATGTTTTGAGAGAAAACATAGACCAAAAAAACCCCAAACAAACCAAAATTCCTAAAATAAAGTAAAAAATGCTTCCATCTGTCTTAAGACTCCTATCAGTTCTTTCTTTGGATGTGGATAGCATTTTTCATCATAAGTCCTTTGAATTGTCTTGGATCATTATATTGCTGAGAATAGCTAAAGTCATTCACAGTTGATCATTGTACAATATTGCAGTTACTGTGTACACTTTTCTCTTGGATCTGCTTATTTCACTTTGCAGCAGTTCATATGAGTCTTTCCAGGTTTTTCTGAAAATATCCTGCTTGTCATTTCTTTTAATACAGTAGTATTCCATCACAATCATATTCCACAACTTGTTCAGCCAGTTCACAATTGATGGGCATCCTTTCAGTTTCCAGTTCTTTGCCACCACAAAAAGAGCTGCTATAAATATTTTTGTACAAATAGAGTTCTTAACCTCTTGGATCCTAAACTTCCTAATCTCTAATCTGTAAGGTTCCTTCTAGCTCCAAATCCTGTGATTATTTATGGGGTTTGCCAGGTTTGAGGAACACAGGAGAATTGTGTCAAGTAGAAAGATGCTTGTAGCTTCCCTGAAGGATCTGATATTCCAGGAATGATTGTTATGCCTCTCCCCATCTATAGTTGAGGATAGAAATCTAAGTAAGGAATAGTAGCTTTGGGAGGAAGGCATATAAAGAAGAGTTTGATAAATGGAACTTCAGGCCCAGGTGGTCATTAACTTTGATCATCTTCCATTGTGGAGTGAAGGATACTGCCATGCCTCCATGTAAGTCTTAAGTTTTCCCAGGCCTCAGGTTTAATTCTGTTGAGTCTCAGTAATTGGGGGCATACCTGTTAGTCAAGGTAAGTTGAAACATCTAGGTTGTGAGAGATAACTATTTTCTAATTTTGACCTTAGCCTATATTGTCCCTTCCCTTTTTTCCAGAGGGCAAATGAAGATTCATTTCACTCATGCACTCCTGTCTTATGTTGTTTTTCTTTACTTGGAATGGCTAAGGAAAATGAGTCAATTGCATTTCTGGCTCTTTATTGACCTTAGGGATAGGCTGAGGTCTAGCAGTGTGTAACAAATAGCAGTGGTGGAGGGATTTTACACTGCCTTTTTCTGGGCCCTCTGGTACATTAGTGGAAACTATGCTAGGTACTAAGAAAAAGTTTTGGACTTAATGAGTTAAGAGAACATTGTTACTTAAAGCACAAAAGTAGCCCAAACACAGAACCTGAAGTTCTAAGGTATAATTTAAATTCTCACAGGACAGTGGCCTCCTGATTTATGAGGTGGCAGGTTATTGAGGGGAGTCCTCCAGCATTGGGCTTTGAGCTATTGCCTTTTCTTACCTCAGTGCTGTCCCTCTGCTTTGTGAAAAGTGGACCATGCTGTGCACATGGGCTATTCTTTAACATATATGGGAGTGCTCATAATTGCTATTGATAGTGACCAGTCACCACCTAGTAAGTCTTATAATGATATTCCAAGTTCTCTTTTTAAAACTGTTAATGACAGAGAGTTTCTCTAGAAGGTTGCCTTGGAAGCACATCTACATAAAATAATGGCATGGCCTAAGAAATTATCTGAATTTCTTAGTTCTTTGTGAATTGAAAACCAACAATCAATCAGCAAACCAACAAATTGTTTTTGGACTTCTGGTCTATATTCAGCATTGTGCTAGACTCTGAGACTGGTATAGACACAGATGACTCTCACAGCAAGCATATACATTAAGCAATGCGTAACAGTACTGGGTAACAAGTGATAAGTATTACTAGATTGTTAGTGCTAATTGGAATTCAGAGCAGGAAGTCCACCTGGAATAGTCAAGGCAGGTTTTTGGAGAAGGTAGAATTTAAGCTAGGCCTTTTAAGGATGGACCGGATTTGGATAGGTGAGGAGGATGTATCAGTCAGTTGAAATGTCATGAACTGAGATATGAGGAAGGAAAAGCAAAGGCCTTTTTGGAGGGCATTGAAGTAGGCCATTTGGTTGGAGAGGGGGTTTATACAAGAGAGTAACAGAAGATTGAATTTTATATGTGTTTACAGTCTGTTCCAGATCTCACTTTAGCCATGGGTGCAAGGCTGAGGTGTTTGCCCTTGTTTTGTAGGCAGTTGGAAGTCATATTCTAGGAGAGTGCAGGGAAAGCAAAAGGCTTCATTTGGAAGGTGTTGCTAGAAGTAGAGTTGGAGCGGGAGTGATTCCAGACATGTGATGTCACCAGTGCAAAAGTAGCAAGGTAGGCAACAGAGTGACATGTTTGAAGAACAGCAGGACTGGATTGTAAAAGAGTGCCAGAAATGGAATCATATGTGACAAAGTTGGAAAAACAGTTTGGAACCAGGTTATGAAGGGTTTTAAAAGTTAAACAAAGGAGTTTGTACTGATCCTTGAAGCGGGGCAGTCAGTGGAGTTTCTTGAGGAGGGCAGTGACATGGTCAGACTTACATACTTTGGGAAAATCTCTTATACAGTTGTGTAGAGGATGGATTGGAGATGAGAAAGGCTTGAGGTGTGTAGCGAGACCAATTGGGAAGCTATTCCAGTAGTCCGGGTAAGAGGTGAAGAGCATGTTTACTGGAGATGCTGTGGAGGTAGGACTGGTAAATTCTGACTATTAGATGTGTGAGAGGGAGAATGTGAGGAATCATGGATAATACCAGCGTTGTGTTAATGAGTGACTACAAGGACGGTAATACTCTGGACAGAAATAGGGATGTTTAGAAAGGATTTTGGGGAAAAGATGATAAGTTTGGTTTTGGACTTGCTGAGTTGGATATGCCTCCAAGAGATCCAGTTTGACTACATGCTTAAGAGAGGTACTGTAAAAAGTGTGTGTGTACGTACACACACACACACACACACACACACACACACACACACACACGTAATTATGCATAAATGTGTATGAATAAATATATATTTTTTGAAGTCTTTATAGAGATGATAATTAAACTCATGGGTGCTATTGAAGTTGGTCATCAAGTTAGAGAGTAGAGAGGAGGATTAGAAGAGGGCCCAGGGCAACCTCACAGAGTAATGTTATCAGAGTGGTGTCTTAGGGACATCAGTGTGGTATAGATTGTATAGGCTGGATTGAAGAGTATGTAAGACGCGAGGTATGGAGATTTTATAGGATAGTATTGCAATAGTCAAGGCAGAGGTGTTAAGGACCTAAACGCTGGTAGTGGCAGTGAGCATAAAAAGGAAAAAATAGATGTGAAGAATAGTGTAGGTCACATTTTGTATGACCTTCACTATGAAGAGAAATCAGTAGAGTTTGTAGATTAAGTAGATATTGGCAGGTTAAGAGGGTCAAAGATGATTCCAAGTTTTTGAATAGCCTGGATTGCTGGGAGCATGGTGAAGAACCTTTCTGAATCTGTTTCCTTATCTGTAAAATGGGAATAATAATAAGCTATTATCCTCACAAGCTTTTTGTAGATAGAGCTTGTGCATTGTAGTGCAATGTTGGACCTGGAATCGGGAGAGACATGGGTTTCAACCAGGTTTCTTACACTTTCTAGCTGTGTGAATGGGCAAGTCATTTAAACCCTCTGATCCTCAGAGGCTCTAATTATGCAACTAGGGGGCAAAGTTGATTTAGCTAGCTCTGGAGTGAGAAAGATCTTAGTTCAGATCTAGTCTCAGAAACTTAACTAGCTGTGTGACCGTGGGCAAGTCACTTAATTTCTATTTGTCCGAGTTTCCTCATCTGTGAAATGGGAATTTTAACAGCACCTACTTTGCAGGGTTATTGTGAGGATCAAATAATATAATAATTGTAAAGCACCTAGCACAATTTCTGGCATAGTAATCACTACATAAATATCAGCTGATATTATTATTTTATTATTATAAATGTAATGAGTGTTCTTTCAAATTTATTTCATTATATCATACTACCATATATACCATACTATACTGTGTGAACTTGGGCAGCTAGGTGATGCAGTAGATAAAGCCCTGGACCAGGAAGTCTTTGAAGTCCTTAATTTGAATCTAGCCTCAAACACTTAGTAGCTATGTGACCCTAGCTAAGTCACTTAACCCCTGCCTCAGTTTCCTCAATTGTAAAATGGGGATAATAGTAGCACCTGTCTTAGGTATGTTGGAGAATCAAATGAGATAATATATATAAAGTGCTACATAACTTTTAGCTATTATTATTGTTGCTGTTGGACAAGTCCATAACCTTTCTGAGCCTCAGTTTCTTTATCTATAAAATAGAAATAATAATTGTACTACTTCTTTCATAGGGATGCACTTGGCAAACCTTAAGATGCTATATAAAAGTGAATTGTTATTGTTCAAGGCCCAATCAATTCTGATTGGGCTTCAGCCAGAATCAAGGGAAGTCTTTATAAAATCAGTTGGTATTTGAAATGGTTCTTAACTTTTTTGCTATTATTTCAGTGGCAAAGATTAATTGAGTTATAGGCCATTAAAGTAGTAGAGAATGGCCTCCATTGCAAGTTAGTGTAAGACTGTTGCAAGTTAATGTAAAACTAGAGACCAAATAAATGCTGTGTATTGTGGTACCAAGTTCTAGTTCAGAAGAGCAGAGGTCTTCAACAAAGTCTTTATGGAAGAAACATTATTTGAGGATTTTGTAGGACCAGTAGCATTTGTAGCTGGAAAGGAGAAAAGCTGAATTTAGACAGACCCTTGCAGTCACCAAGGAAGCATCAGCCTAGACAGCAACATTGTCCAGTTGTGTGTTGTTGTGAATATAAGCATTAGAGCCATTCGCTTTTAGAAGGTGTGGACCTTCACAAAGGGCAGTTGATCTGGGATATGTACTTCCCGTATATTTTGCAGGGATTATATATATCAATGTGCCCAGAAGGAGATTGATTAGGACCTCTGGAATTCTTCTTTTGTTTCCTTAAGAGAGGTGTTATAATTACTTGACAAGGTTAATTCTTTCATAAGGTATGAACTCATCTTCTGTGCTTTTAACACCATGTAAAGGTGATTGAAACCTTTAGGTTTGATATTTGGAGTTAGGGAGACCTGGGTTTTTGTCCAGCTTTGCTACTTAATATTTTGGGATTTTAGTCAGCACTTTATCTCAGTGGTCCCCACTTTCCTTCATCTCTGTGGCCTTATCTGTAAAAACGATGGAGCTTCAGGTGATGATCTGTGAGCTACCTTCCAGTTCTAAATTTATGATCTCTATGATCCAGTGAAGGGGTTTTAGGAAAAAGGAAAGGAAGGATTGAGAGAGAGTGTGCAAAACCCTGGACATACGGTTTGTGGAGGTGACAATGAGAAGACCAGCTTGGTTAATGGAAAGTAATTTTGTATCCCCTGCCACCCTCTTAGTGCTTAGTGTAGTGTTGGGCACATGATTAACGCTCAGTGAATACTTTTGAATGAGTTAGTTCAGTTAGAAATTCTATAAAGCCTCTTTCATGTGCAATGAATGGAAGTAAGACACAGTTCCTGTCCTCCAGGAGCTTCAAATCTAGTAAGGAGGATACAGCATGTATGATACAGCATGTATGTCACTAACTATAAGTTAGTGTGTTCAGAGTATAATGAGAAATTTGAGGTTGGAGAGATCTTTTATAGCAAGGGCCTTCAGGAAACTGAAGTATTGGCCGAGAGGTTTGAAGGAATAGATAACTAGAAGTGTGACTGGTTGTTTTCACTTCTTATATTGACTTCTTACTGGTGTCTTTCATCACATCGTCCTTTGTATTTGCTTGTGTGTCTGGGGGAAATAGAATGATGGAGAATTCAGGAAATTTTAATTTTTATTCCAAGCTACCAAATGGCTTAATTATCCAAAAAAATCTCTCTCTCAGTATCTTTCATTTTTCATCAGAAAGTGTAACAACCCCTCTCCTACATCATAGGATTGTTATGTAATTTAAGAAGAGATAATAGATATGAAAATATTTTTAAAAGTAAAGATCTATACAACTATGAGTTGTTAGAGAGGGTAGGCCTTGTAAGCAGGAAGATTGGGGCTTAATTCCTACCTCTGATATATATTAGCTGTGTGACTGTGGATAAATCACTTAAGTCCTCAGTGCCCTTGGATGCTCTTTTAAGGCTCTAAATTATGGACAGATGGCTGTTCTGCATTGGTAGGGAGAGACTCCATACTGTGAATTTCCCACACTGATGAAATCATAGGACTGGATAGCAGAAATTTATATCGGATTTGAGGGATTCTCTTCCCTTCTAGTAGTAGTGATGGATTACACTGAACTGTACACCCAGTTGGCTTTATGACCTCTTGTCTGGAACTGTGGAGCAGTTTTTCTCTTCAATAAATTATTTGGCTTCTCTGAGGATCAACCCACACATACCATTGCCTCATTGGCCCTGGGCTAAATAGTATTTGTTACTTACATTCCTCCAAATGAATATTGTGGGAATTAAAAAATAGTAACATACTCTCACTTTGTAGGAAAACTAGAAAAAAGAGACTTTTATTGCATTGTAAAAATGTTAGCATTTTGTCTTTTATAGGTATTGTTGGTGAAGCAGATGAAGATGCTGAAGATTACTATCTTTGGACCTACAAAAGGCTGGAAATAGGTTTCAATGGAAATCGAATTGTGGATGTTAACTTAACTAGTGAAGGAAAGGTGAAACTGATAGCAAATACCAAAATCTCAATGTCATATTCAGTAAGTATTAAAATAATGTGCCATTCAGGGAGCAATATTTAGGTCATATCCCTTACAAACAGTTAAGTTTGTTCTGGATTTGAAGTAAATGAACAAGAAATTTGTTGTAACTAAATATTATAACTTTTATCTCTTTGATTTACCTGTTCCATCATCTCGAAATCAGGGTCTGATTAAGAAAAGGACATCTTGAGTACAGCTTTCTGTAGTGCACATAAATTTTGTTCTGCAAGACTTGCTCCCAGATATAACAAAATTTGACCTCAAAATTATCCTCTTAGGCTAGAAAAACTATGTACGTATTCACAATACGTAGTGCTTTATGTTATCTCTTTTCTGACATTGAGTGCTGATAGATACTCACCTTAAAGTTGGAGCATACTGTTGTTTGGCAGGGCAGATACAAACCAGATTGCAATTTCATGCTCCACTGGGTGGGATAGGATGTGTCGTTGAAATGTTCATCAGAGATGGGATTTTAACAGCCCTGGTGGCAAAATCTACTCATACTACTTTCTGGGATTGGGAATGGTAGAACAAAGAAAGTATAGGGAGAACCTCTCTTTTTTTCCTAGTTACATGGTAACTGGAAAGATGAACTTAGTAGTAGCCAATTTTTAAAGTCTTTTAAACATTGCATATATATATGTACCAGGGCAAATAATACTTGAATAATTTTACTTATGAAGGTTTTTTGGTGTCATTAAGTAGAAATAATTCAATCTAAAGTTTTCTTCATTCTTATTTTGGTTGAAAGTGATTTAATTTTAGATATTAAGCTTATCCCAGATTAAAACATTAGCCAACAATAAATAGATCTTGAAAACTGAAGAACTTTATCGCTATTAGAAGGTCCTTATAGGACAAAGTTAAAATGTGTTGATGTGTATAGAGAGGAATTTGCACTGACTTCTTTTTGTCATGCCTGTTTTTAAGTGCTAGTAATGGCAGCCACTCTCTGTCCTTTCTCTGGTTTCTTAATACTTGTAAATTTCCCAAAAAATTTCTTTAAAAGTTTGTCATCTGTTTCTTTGATTTTTGTGCATTTTTCACATTAAAATTTATTTCAGGTGAAATGGAAAAAATCAGATATAAAATTTGAAGATCGATTTGACAAATATCTTGATCCATCTTTTTTTCAACACAGGGTATGTAAATATTTTATGTATTTAAGACATTCAATGCATATTAATTTCTTTCACTTTTTTCCCATTGAACTGACTAGTGAAACTTGTAAGGCCATTCTTTGAAAATGAAACACATTAGATGTCACTGATAGGTTAATGACCATCCCTCTTTGAAATAAAACATGGTTCTTTGGAATCTTCAGTTTCTGTACTAGAACATTGGACTCTGTAGGGTGAGTAGATATAACATTTATTAAGTGCCTACTGTGTGCTAGGCTGCTGGTCCCTGTGCTGAGGATGTCTTGCTAGCAAGATCGTCCCTGCCTGTAAGAAGCTTACATCCTAAAGGGGAAATTGAGAACAGACAAAGGAGGTTCTGAGATGGGGGCATTTCCTGGAGGAGAAGGGAACAAAGAAGGGTGTGTGCTACAGGAAGGTGAGGTGAGGAGGGGAAAGGAAAAGGAGAGAGGGAAGGCTTCCTTACCTCCAAGTTGGAGGGCTCAGGAAGAAAGTCTGAGTGAGCACATGTTGGGTGTAAGGAAGTCATGGTGTTCTTGAGATGACTGGTGGAAGATCCCTAGAGAGAGCACCCAACCACCAGCTTAGGGTAGGGAAGATATGGATGGGAAACTGCTTCTCCCACCAGGTAGCTGTGAGACCCTAGGCCCATCAGTTAACCACCATGCTTCATTTTCCTTAGGAGTAAAACAAAAGGGCTGGATTTGAAGACCCCCGCTTCTTTTCTAGCTTTGAGTGTGTGACCCATAGCTGTAGTCCTAGAGTGTTAACAATGTCTTTTAGGTCGTGTATATTTTGCAGCTTTTTTAGAGTCTCCTAGTACTGAAAAAGTCATGTAAGTGTCTCCTCTCTGCAGGAAGGGCAATTTGGACTTAGCTTTGTGTGACTCCTTCATTAAAGGAGACATATGAGAGCTGGGGATAGAGGGATGCCACCATAGTTTGGAGACCTGGGGGGTAGAACCCTTTTTTTTTTTCTTCTGATCTTACTCTGCTCATAGCACAGGGCTTTTGGTGTTCCTAGGCTTTTGCCCATTCCTTCTATTCAGGTCCCAGGTTGAAGTTCCATCAAAACTTCAGGTAACCCATCCCTGTGTCTTATAAGACTTAATCATATCTCTTCAGAAGAAAGCAGAGCTTAAATTGTTTATATTTTTGGGGAGAAGCAGAAAGCTACCCCAGATAATCAGTGGAGTATTTTAACATATTGTCCCCCTGGCTCTAGCTTCTACCACAATCTCATTCGTTATTAGTACTGCTGATGCTTGCTAGAGGAAGTGGAAAACATGATAATCTTCCTCCCCTACTTTATATTTCCTCTTCCCTCAAATTCCTGGAAGCCCTTTGGGGAAGACATAAGCTTGCTAACGCAGGCCACCACCCCATAGTACTATGACTCCTCTGCTTCTGTACTACTCTTCTGATCACAATTTGGGTAGAGATGTACCTGTGATATTCCCACAAACATAGAAAGTCTCCAACTCCTGCTAGGTTATATTCCAAAAAGTGTTGTTAATTCAATGTTTTGTTGAAAAATAAGTTACTAATAATATTTAGGTCCTCATTCTGACTCACAAAACTTACATAAATGAAATATAATAATAGAATTATAGAACTGTGGAACTGAAGGGGATTTTAGTATTCCTCTAGTTTGGCTAATGTTGATATAACCCAGCTCCTCATTTAATATATACGGTAACTTGAAACTCGGGGAGGTAAGGTGATTTTCCCATGGTTATACTATCATTTAGCATATTCTTTCTTTAGGAAAAACTGTAGTTTCAAGAGAGCATACCATCCATTGCAAGAGAGAGCTCCTCTACCTTGCAGAATGAATCAAGGTTCTGTTGTTGGAATTGGCCGGAATGAAGGATATGATGGAGCAGCAGCAGCAGTAGCTACAGTGGAGGGAATATTGGCTTCTTTGGGAGGAATTGGGGGCAGTAGTAATAGTGGCTACAGTGGGAATAGCTGCTACAGTGGGTGCTTGTACTTATGTTGGTAGGAAAGTTTAAAAAGAAGTGCCAACACACCACTGACCTGCTAGTAATGAGCTTAAAATGCAGAGGTGTATATTTTCAGACATAGACAATGTGGGAATTTATTTTTGCTGTACTGTCCATATTTATGATGAGGGTTTTATTTTGTTATTTTTGTTAATTTTCTTCTTTTTGTTATTATTTAATTGAAGGGGGAGGTATAAAAGTTTTAAAAGGAAAAAAAGCAGGGGCCAAGTAGTGAACTCAGACTGTAATTTTGGCTTGGTCTACCAATGTCTCTTTATGTTTAGGAAGCTACTGGTTTATTTATTTGTTTGTTTGTTTATTGTCCTTAATCTGCCTTACCATGTTGGTTGAAATGTGTAGGCAGCCTCTGTGTGTTGTCATGAAATGAGTGGAGTCCAACAGATCAAATTGCAAGTCTCCTTTATGCTAACACTAGTCATGTAACTGTAGTTAATTTACTTAAAAACACTCAGAGCCTCAGTTTCCTAGTCTGTTAAATAGAGATCATGATGATTTCCTTGAGAGGCAGTGTGGCATGGCATTTAGAGAGCCAGCCTTAGAGTCTAGCAGGATGATCATGATTCAGATTCCATCTTTAATAGTAGTCACTCTGTGACCCTGAGCACTTAACGTCTCCACAACCCAGGGCCCAGAATACTTTCCAGCTGCAGAGGAAGTACTAGTCTCTCTTGTTAGATGGAATTTCCTCACTGCTAATTCTCCACTGATGACACCTCAAAGCTTGGCAAAAAACCAAAAACTGTATTTGTACTACTTAACTCACAGAATTTTGTGAAGAAAGTGTTGTAGATGGTAAGGTACTGGGTAAAGTGGGCTGTTATTATCGTCATTGCTTGTTAATAATAACTGATTTAATGTTTGCTTTTTAGTGTATTATGAAAAAAATAGACTTATTCTACTCTTGGGACCACTCGGTTAAGAAGAATAACTGCTGCTTTGGAAAAACTTTTCCGTAGTTTAGGGATTATAGGATTTTGGATTTAGAGCTGAAAGGGACCTTAGACATCATCTGGCCTGAATCCTATGTTTTATAGATGAGGAAATTGAAGCCCAAAGTGGTCTGACACCTTCCCCAGGGTCACACTGGTAGCAAGTAGCAGAAGTGAAGTTTGAATTAAAACCCTTGGATGGTAAATCCTTTGTCTTTTTTCTACTATCTCACATTTGATTTCTATAAATTAGCAGTATATTTGTTTGGTAGTATTGCTTAGGTCTAGCCTTCTGAGGGAGTGACAATTAGCTGCTTCATTACCACATATCCTGTAGACTGTCATATTATCCTTGGGTAGAAGTTGCTCAGTTTGACTTTTGTCCTATGAGATCTCTTCCCATCAGAGATTTTCCACTCACAGATAGGATTTTAATTTATAAATAATTTTTTTTTGTTAACTCAGTTATTTTGACTTTTGAAGAAAAGTTTTTATTATATTATGAACTGTAGTCTTCTTAACCCTGACTTTGTTGTTGGGAGTAAAAGGATAGCTGGTAAAACTGAGGTGGTGTTTCTTTTTGTGGTTTTTGTGTCAGTGAACTAAATGGGGTCATGATCTTACATTTCAAACCGCCTGCTAGATGTTTCCTTTTGGATATCTTGATGTCACCTTAAACTCAGTCTGTATAAAATCAAACTCTTTATCTTCCCTCCAAAATCAGCTTCCTATCATGACTTCCCTTATGAATATGAATATATTTTTCCAAGTAGGGAGAATACTCATTCTGCTTGATTCTTCTGCTTTCCCACTATCATTAGTCCATTGAAATAAAAACACGTTCAATCAGATTATTAAACTTTATCCTTTGACCACTTTATAGGCAGTTTTAGAGCCCTCTTTTGACGAAAATTTGTGAAACAAACATTTTTTTAAAACATATGTAAACAGTCTATAAGTTCCTGCGGTTTCCTTACTGGAAATTCATTTAAAACACCCAAGTACTTCTTTATGTTGTCATTCACTTTTTCCCTTTACATTCCTGCTTCCCTCAGTGAGACTATAATGTCTTCAAGAGTAGGGATCATTTATTAGTGTTAATTTATATATTCCATAGAATTTAGGACTGTGCTATACATACTTTAAATGCTCATTAAATATTTCCTGACTACGAAAAAGAATTTGTCCTTATGAAAGAGATAATTGTAAATCTAGGCAGTATCCTCTGAGTTTCATATCATATACATATAACCTGTTTCCAAAGCACTTACGTCTTGTTTAGTTTATGATACCTATTAAATTCTTAGGAAGTCTTAATTTTTGAATATAGAAGAATTTGAATGGAAGGTAGTTGAATGAATAGAATTTAATAAACAAAAAAAATCCCTGTGTCCCAACCCCAAAACTAATTTACTCTAGACTAAGCTAGTAGAGAATAGGTTTTTTTTACATTAATCAATGTATTTAATACCTATTATTTAATACTCATATACTGTAGGAGATAACAGAAATATAAAATATGGTCCTTGCCCTTAAGAGGATCGTATTCCAACTGGGGAGGCAAGAATAACACATAAACTAATAATGATGTTATCAATACATGATTGAGTACTAAAATATATAATGTGTGCATTAAGAGAAGGGAGATAAGTAGAGCCTGGAACAATTAAAGTAGACTTCATATAGAATTTGAAACTTGAGTTAAGCCTTGAAAGATTGGGAGATTTGGATAAGGGGAGGGGATTCTTAGTTGAAGATCTGTCCAGTGTGAGCAGACACAGAGGCAGAAATAAACATGGGGTAATGAGGTCAACTTGATTACAGAGAGGAATGGAAAAGAAGTTTGAGTAACTGGGTTAGGCAGATTATAAAATATTTTGAGTAAATAAGTTTTTAAAAATTAATTTTTCTTTCAATCAGCAAAAATCTTCCTTATCTTCCCTTCTTTTTAACTCCCCTCCCCCAATTGAAAATGAAAGAGAAATAAAATCCCTGTTAAAACATATATAGTCGAGCAAAACTAATTTTTGCATTAGTTATGTCCCAATGGAGAAAAAATACCCAGGAACTAATACATGTTTATGTCTCGTGTGTGTGTGTCTGTATGTGTCTGTGTCTCGTTTTGCACTCTTGAGTCTTTTACCCATCTTTCAGGAAGTGGGTAGCATGTTTCATTGTTAGTCTTGTGGAATTATGGTTGGTTATTATGCTGATCAGAGTTCCTAAGTCTTTGAAAGTTGTTTGTTTTTACAATATTGTTGTCATTACTTTATTCTGTATCAGTTCATACAGTTCTTGGCCTTTATTATTTCTTACTGCAATATTCTGTCACATTTATATACTGTAGCTTGTTTAGCACTTCCCCTGTTGATGGATACCCCCTCAGATTCCCATTCTTTGCCATTTCAAGAAAAAGCTGTAAATATTTTAGTATATTCTTAGTTTGTTTTGATTAGAAATAATCCTTTCCTTAATCTGCCCTTCCCCCAATTTCCCCTTCTCTTTCTCTTCTGTTTCCCTTTTGAGTGAAATGTTTTTCTGTACCCAGCTCTGCATGTGTGTGTATGTGCACGCCTGCAAGCACTCACATTTCAGATGAGAGTGAGGTTCAAAAATCATTGTCTGCCCCCTCATCCTTGTATGAACTTTGAATTGTATACTCTGATTATATGAGAGAATTTTCCCTAACCTTTCTTTCCCTTCCTTCCCAGTGAATTCCATCTTTTCCTCTCCTTCCATTCTTTTAACATCAAGACATAGTAGAACTACTGCTAGGCCTTCTTTGTTCTAAGACTTCCTTTATGACCCCTGAAGATAGGGTTCAGAGGGGATACATCTGTCATCTCTCTACATTAGAATGTAAGCAGTTTATCCTTGTTGAGTCCCGTATAATTGTTTCCTTTTTTTGCGACTCTTTTAATTCCTGTGTTTGAGCTTTAAAGTTTCTACCATAGCTCTAGTTTTTTCGTCAATAATGCTTGAAATCCCTCTTTCATTAAATGTCTGTTTTTTCCCCTGTAGGATTATATTCAGTTTTGCTGAGTAAGTTATTCTTTGCTAAGCCTATATCCTTTGTCCTCTGGAATATTGTATTCTAAACTCTCCACTTCTTCATAGTAGTGGCTGCTAAATGGTGTGTGATCCTGGCTGGCTACTTGGTACTTGATTTCTTGCTTTCTGGCTGCTTTCAGGGAAGCTCTAGGTTTTGGCTGTAATGTTCCTGGAGTTTTCATTTTGGGGTTCCTTTCATTTGCTCTCTGGTTCTAAGGGATATGGGCAATAAAAAAAGAAACCTTGAAATATGTCTAGGCTCATTTTTTTTGGTCACTGCTTTCAGCTAGTCCAGTGATTTCTTAGTTTTTTTCTCCTCTGTTTTCTAGGTCATTTTTTTGTGTGTGCTATAATTTGAATTTTCTTCCATTTTTTTCAGTCTTTTGACTTTGTTTTAATATTCTTGTTGTGTCATACAATCATTGGCTACTATTGGGTCCATTCTGATTTTTAGGGAGTTGTTGCTTGGGCAAGACAGTAGAAGATGAGCACATTTGCAAGTGAAAAGATGTGTCAGTGAGTAGAATTAAGAGGATAGCACATACAGTGAAAATATTATAGGAAAAAACAAATTTGAAGGACTTTGAAACTCTGATTAATGCAATCATAAACCGTAAGTCCAGAAGACTGAAGATGAATCTTGCCACCCACCTCTTGCCAGAGAAATGAGAGAATTAAAATCCAGAACAAGACATGCATTATTGGACTTGGCCAATATAGGAAATTGTTATGCATGATTATTATGAAGAAGATGTGTTTGTTGTTATTTGTGTTTTTGTTTTGTTTATATTGTTCACTTGGGATAGCAGCAACCATAATAAATGTTTGTAAAAATAAATTAAAATGTGGGTTCAGTGGGATGTCAAGCAAGGGTGATTATGGTTAAAGGAAGGAATCACTAAATTCAGAATTTTGAAGATAGGGTGATGTGATTTTGTGATGAAAAGGTAAGTTCAGGGCTCCACCAACCTGGTGTGCACCTAATGAGTTAAAGCAGGCAATGGGGTTCTACAGAGTCAAGAATGTTAATAAATAAAACATCATGGGGACTCATGGGTCATGAAAATGGTTGTTAATTGCAAAGAATTGTGAAAATATTGATCAAGTTACTGAATTTGCCTGGGATAGTGGGAAATAGTTGATAGAGAAAGCAGTGGGCACTATAGACTTTATGTTATAAGGAAGCTTTCAGATTATTTTTCTTTAGATTATCAGTATTTTAAATGGAAATATGATCAACTGATAACCAGTTGTAATGAATCTTAATTTTTTGTATGACATGCAGTTTTGGTATACCTCAATTTAAGCATTCATTAAGTTTGTTCTGGAAAAGTTTTATGTAAATCACAACATGTCCAAACTAGAATGAGGAAGTTACAATTTGAAAATCAGTCTGTAATGTAAATCATTTATCCTGTACTAATCATAGATATTTTTTTAATGTAGCATGTTAGGCCTGTAATGTTTTATAAATTAAAGTCTTTTGTATTTTAACAAGTTGTTATAATACTTGTGAATTTTATGACTGCTATTTCATGTTGGTAATATTTGTATTTTTTTAGATTCACTGGTTTTCAATTTTCAATTCTTTCATGATGGTTATCTTCTTGGTGGGCTTAGTTTCTATGATTTTAATGAGAACTTTAAGAAAAGATTATGCACGCTATAGTAAAGAGGAAGAAATGGATGATATGGTGAGCAAATATTTCCTAAATTTTCCAAAATTCATTTAAAAATTCACATAAAGTTCATTAAGAAATTTTGAGAGGTATCATAGAATATTGAATTTTTCTTAGAATGTTGAATTTTTTCTAATGTTGAAGAATATGATTGAGAATTTAAGAAAATTAATAATTGTTTAGTTTTACGTGTAAATGGGGAAGGCGGGAAGGCAGTTCTTTTTGTCGTACTTTTCATAATCCATTGGGATTATTTGGTTTGTTTAATAATATTTTGTGTGGGGTAAATATTTGAGAAATTGCATCAATTTTTTTATGCTTTGGATAGTTATTTTAAAATCATAGTATGGTAGAGTCATCCCTGGGATTTATAGGCAGGACACCTGAGCTTTGTGTACTGGCTATTCTGTTAACTGTGACAGTCTCTCTTGAGACCATTTCCCCATTTGGTTTAGGTGATTTCAAAGGTCCATTCCAATTCTGCATTCTTTTTTTTTTTTAATTTAATTTAATTTTTTTTGCATTCTTTAATTGTTTGATTTTTTTTTCCAGGGCTTTTATAGCCTTTAACCAGGACTTAGAATTCTTGCATTTAATTCTCACACTTGGACTTAACTAGCCATGTGACCCTGGGCAGGCCACTTACTTAATATGAGTTATTTCTCCATATATAAAATGATGATTATCTGAGCTCTGCAAACTGACAGTGTTTTTATGAATATCAGGTGAGAGAATGGTTGTGAAAACACTTTAAAAATTTGCAAACATTATGCAGATGTAAGGGATTATTACTATTATTGAGAGCCACAAATACCTGGCAGTGGTGTACTGTCTGAGTCTCCAAATATGATCCCTATTTATGTGGAACAGTAAATGCTGCAGTTCTGATCACCTACTTGTGAAATTACCTTCTAAAGTAGGATGAAGAATTGCAGACAGTACCTGTTCTCCCAGGTTGACCTTTCTTTGTCCCTCCTTCTCAAACTTTTCTCAATGTCTACTGCCTAAGATACCCAGGATTGATGCTGTACTTGAGCAGATGGCATAGTCCTTTGCCATCATGAAATATCAGAGCAATAGCTATTTTATAATTTGAACTGGGTTTATTTTATAATAATTTTCAGCCTTTTACATATATTTTTAATTTTTAGAATAAATTTTAATTTGATGCCTTTTGTTTTTATATACCTTTTTGGAAGTCATCATGTCTAACATTGTATAGACTATTCTACCCTAATAATCTCCTCTTTGCTGAGAGAGGAGTGAGGTATTTAATCCAAAAATTAAATGATTAATATTGAAGAAGAAAACTTTTAATTTTCATTTTTATAACTTCTAAGTATCTAATAATTTTATTATTATGATTTTCCCCCCTATTATACATAGGACAGAGACCTAGGAGATGAGTATGGCTGGAAACAGGTACATGGAGATGTATTTAGACCATCAAGTCACCCTCTGATATTTTCCTCACTTATTGGTTCTGGATGCCAGATATTTGCGGTATCTTTCATTGTCATTATTGTTGCAATGATAGAGGATTTATACACAGAGTAAGTGTGCTCAAATGTATTACCATTTTTGTTCCTGTAGCAGCTTTTAAATTAGTGGTGCCCATTGAACATCCTGATTATGTATTTCTGTGCATTATTGATACCTTGATATTTAGGATAAAATCTTATTTTTTCTCTTTAAGTTTTTTCTTAAAAAAGGATTATTAGCTATTCATTTTTACTGTTTAGTGAGGATTATTATAACTTAAATATTAGGCATTTTCCTAGAAACAGAAGGGCATTATAATTTTTTAGAAAGCAGTTTTGGGCTTTAATACATTATACTTTTATAGAGAGGTAAAATAATCTAATATCATCATTAAATTAATAACTGAACAAAAGACATTAATATTTGAGTTACCAATTACTTTAAATATTTGGATCTGTCAACAAAATAACGGTATACCTCACTTTTTGGCAATGACACTGTTTCAGAAAATTTGTGAATGACTCTGGTTTTTTGAGTCAAATGATGAAAATGAGTTATTATTGCCAACTGGTTCTTTTGTCTAAATCTTAATTTTACATTTATGGCTTACTTAAAAACAAGGTATACCTCTATGTAAAACAGGGCAAGTAAATATGTAAAAAGTGAAGTGTAAACTCTGATTAATAAAAGCACAAGGAACCATCTGCCTGGTATTTAGTTAGGAAAGTATGACTATATCACTAAATGTGCACCATTAAAATTTAGTAATTATTAATACATCAGGTGTTTATGTAACAATAACTTCTCAGTTCAGAACTATCTTAGTTGACTTTGCCCTGCTTCCTGAGTTCTAAAAGTAGCCCAACTGGCTGCCTTGTTGTTCCTCATACATAGTCCTCTGTCTGTTTTCTTCATGCCTTTTCACCGGTATTGCTTATGCTTGGAAGATAAGTTTCTCCTTACCTCTTTGCCTTTTAGAATCCCTTGTTTCCATCAAAATTTAACCTAAGCCCCACCTTCTGCATAAAACTTTTCCTGAACTCCTTGTCCTCAGTTACTTTGTATTTATTTAATATATGTATTTTGTATAGACTTCTAGATTTACATGTTGTTTTCCTCAGTAAATTCAATAAGTAAGTTTCCTGAGAACAGGTATTATTCCACATTTGTATTTTTAGTGTTAACACCTAGCACAGTGTCTGGTACATAGTAGGTGCTTAATAAATGTTTGTTGATTGATTGACCCCCTAGGCTTCCAGGTTAGTGAAAGTGGAGTAGAAGCAGCCCTACTGGCCCCATCCTTTGGTTACTTATGGGTGACCTAAGCTTCTCTCTACCCAGTAGAGGGAATATCTTTCCTTCTGGCCTTCCTAGATCTTTCAGGAGAGGAGAAAAGGCATTGAGGAGAGTTGCCTCTGCCAGTTGTTTTCTAAATTTGAAGGTCTGTAGTTTACCATGAAAGGTGACCCAAATGATCCCCAGACACAGGTACTTAACATGTATATTTCTCTGTCTTGTCTGTCTGTCTATATTGATAGATAGATAGCTGTAGATATAGATATGGTTCTGTATGTCAGAACTAGAAATAATTCGCTATGTGGTTATTAGCAGACCTTTCATTTTTTTTTAATCACCTTTTTACTATACTTGACCCTTAGATCATTTCCCTTCCTTATTATTTCACTCCTCTACCATAAAATTCATAAAACTTTAGTGTTGGAAGGTACCTCAGAGCCTCTTTAGTCTGAGCAGGAATGGAATCCCTTCCATAATCTCCTTAAGAAGTAGTCATTTCTATTCCACCTCATCCTCTGAACTTTCCAGCTTTATTCTTCCCCTTCCATTCTTTCTACTTTCTACCACTGCCTCAATCCTTTGTCTTTGTAGTGATTGGGTCTAACATCAAGAGAGCTGCTTTTCCCTCTAGTCTGCAATGGGGGTGTTGATTACTTTCTCTAAATACAAAATTTTATGTCTGGGTGTGGTTTTTTGTGCATATACAGCTTTTCTTAGAAGTGGGAGAGATTGAGTAACCTCTGCTAACTGGTACCTCTGCAGAGCAAAATGCACTTAAAAACACCAAAGAAATGTTAGTTCATACTGCTTCAATTATGGTTATTTCTAAGTTTGTATGTTTTGTTACTCTCCTTTTTATATTGTTCCAAAGCTCACCATATGATTTTCATATGATTTTTGTGTTTTAGAGCTACATGTAGTATTAATAGAGTAATTTTGAAATCCTTTCAAGTTTACTACTTAACTTTTCAGGCCGTTAGGGATTTTTCAACTCAGATTGTACTGTAGCTCTGAAAGAAAGCAGTTATTCTACCTGTATAGGAAATGAAACCCCACAATAGATTTGCAGCCTGCTTTTGGAAATTTAAGTAACAGGACTTTAGTGACTTGCCACTTCAAGATTAAGAGTAACTTCACTGTAGGTTGTCTTTACTTGGAATACAGCAAAGTAATAATAGTAGTTTACATTTTTATAGCTTCTGGTGATCTCTCCCTCTCCAGTTTTCTACAATATTCGTGAATAATTTGTACCTTTCCATAAGCTTCTTGAGAGCAGGAACACTCCTGCCTTTATGTTCTTAACACCTTGCACGTTGACTTGAACTTACTAGCTACCGAGTGCTTATTGAATTGAATATGGCCTTTTTTTTTGTTTATAAAATGCTTTTTCCATAGCAGATGTGTGAAGTGTAGGTAATATAAATATTATACCTATTTTCAGATGAAGAAACTGAGCTTAGAATTCAAGTCAAGGAGTATTGTATCAAATTAGAAACACTTTAAAATTTATCGCTTTTGAATCAAAAAGATTTGATTTTGGGTTTGGTGTTACTACTGTATATTGTAATCTTCATATATTACCAGAACATAATCTATCTCTGACTTTGATGTTTTACATTATGATATAGTGGCTAGAGCTTTGGACTTGAAGTCTGGAGTTTGAATCCTTCCTTACTAGCTTGTGACCCAGGGTGAATCATTTAATCTCCCTAGGTCTCAGTTTCCTCATCTGTAAAAACTTGGAGTAATAATGAATCTACCTCACAGGGTGGTTGTGAGAATCATAAAAGAGCTGGAAGTGCCCTTAAAGGTCGTGTCTTGTCTCCTCTTAACAGAGGTCCAGAGAAGTTTGGCACTTGCCAGTGTCTCAGATAATAAAAAGACCAGGTGATATAATATATGTAAAGTGTCTTTTGTTAATTGTAAAGGACTATGTAAAATGTATGCCTTTATTATTTTCATTTTTTTGGATGGGGTTCAGGTAAGGCATAGTCCTGGGAAAAGTTGTTGTTGTGTCATTATTTTTTCATGCTTCATGTTCTACCTGTTAAACATATAGATAAAAGAACTCCATGGCTATACTTAATTTATCCTGTTTTCACATGATTTTTATTCCCTCTGTTAGGTTTGTATATTTTGATGGCTTTTGTTCCATGTAGTTTGGAGATTATATATATATTTGGTATGGTGGTAGCTTTTTAAAAATGTTGCTAAATTTTTATGGATCACTTGTTATGTTTGGATGATTGTAGCAATAATCAAATCTGTGATAATGACCTGTTTCCAGTACAAGTTATTGACTGAGTCTTCCAGGATATTTTTAAGCTCTGTATTTGTTCTATAGATATTCTGTCCATGAAGCATAACAAGCTTCTGCTATATAATTCTAGCCACCAGGTCATGTCTTGCTAGGTATCTAGCAGGCACCAAATGCTTATAGCTTGAATTGTGTTGCAGTTTCTACCTTTTCTTTGCATAATCTACATTGATCTCTAGTCTGAGGTTGTTAAGGATCAGTAATTTTTGGTGGTAATGATTTGGTCCTAAAATCATCATAATAAACCCCTGTGTTTCCACAAATAAATCTGCATGACTCATCTATTTGTTTGATGTTTTTTTCTTTTGACCAATTACTGAGTTCATGTGGATGTTGCCCGTGGAGGGCTTTTTGATTCTATTCTTAGATCACAGGTGTTTCAGACAGTATCCAGTGGTAAAACTCAGTTATATTTGAAAAATCCAATCACAAATACCTGTTCTCAGACTTTAGTTTGATTCTATTCTTAGATGTTTTTGTTGTCATTATGTTATTAATGATAATATGTTCTAATATTGGAGTTTAAACTAAATAACCTTTCATCAAACTGTAATTAGCTTAGAAGCTTTCAGAATTACCCATGTCGTTGTTCACTTCAAATTTTTGGATAGGGAATGGCTAGGATTTTTAAAATGTGGTATTGGGTTTTGTACTTAGAAATTTGTAGTTGCCAGCATTTTAAAAAAAGTAGAAAAGCCTGATGATTCTGACACACATGCATATGTGTATACATATCTTTATAATGTGGGAGTCACAAATGATATTGTATGTTTGGGCTTGATTACACATTTCTTAACATGTATGCACATTTTGAAGAATGGGATTATCGTATTTTTCTGGTTAGAGTAGGAATGTGTGATTTTCAATATTACATAATTTCAAAAAATATACCAACAAAAAAACTTTCAGAAGAGGACACAAACATAGCGATTTTGTTACCACCTTGCAAAATTCAATATATGCTTTTAAAAATAAATAGTACTTAACAGAAGTTCACAGTTTTATAATTTCTTTTGTTCTTTGTATATTAAAATATTTATGTTGATAATTATATTTTAATAAAAAAGAATTTTATAAAAGTTTAAATGATGTCACATTCTGTAGTCATAGATAATATGTTAAGGTGAATATTTGTTAATCTATAGGCATGATTAATTTGTACAAATTATGTGCGATCATCAGTGCATGCATTTGTTTTAGGGACAAAGTCTCTTAGATGTATATCAGTTAAAGTTAAGAAAACTTTAATTGACTTAATTCTATTATCTTACACACGTTATTTAGAATATTTTTTCTTCTTATATTATTTACTCCAAATTAATATATTGTAAAGAAAGTAGGTTTCTAATGCTAGTCGCTGTTGTTATATTATTTCAGCCCTTTTATTTATTTAATTTCCAAAAACAAAGTTAAATGGGGAAGTCTCTAAATGTTTTGGTGACATTTAAAATAATAGCTTTGTATTTAATAGTAGAACCATTACTTACTTACCTGTCAGAGGAAGTCAGGTTGTTAACAAACAGGTGACAAACAGGCAACAGTTTTCATTATCCCTTGAAGTAAGTTGTAGAAAAGAAGTAATCCAGTAATTTCCTTAATAGTTAGTTATCTTGAATCTTATCAATGAGGTTGGTTAACAATTTTGCATAAATCTGTGTTCTCACCATTTAAATGTTGTCTTACTGTATAAAAAGTAAGGTCCTTGAGGTTATATCTCTCCTCTTACTCAGTAAAGTCTTGCACGTAATGATCACTTAATAAACATTTATTGAATTGAGTGATTATAAGGTGATGTGTTTTGTATGTGAGACACTGGAATAACTTTCTTGGAAGGATGTTATAGTATCTTCTCCACAGATCTTTCAAAATAGGACAGAATGTTGCTAGATATATTAAAGTGTAATCTTAATGCTATAGGAAAATTGACTAGATCTCAGGATGTTTACTTTTGTAGCATTAATATTGGATACATTTACACATAAACCAAGGCTAAGATAATTAAGTTTATTAAGTTGCCTTTTAAGTTTTTAATATTTAAATCAAATATGTTTGTCTTAACTTTCAGGAGGGGATCAATGCTCAGTACAGCTATATTTGTTTATGCTGCTACATCCCCAGTGAATGGCTACTTTGGAGGAAGCCTTTATGCTAGACAAGGAGGTAACTTTCGCATACTATCACTTTGCATTTTAAAATATAGCAGTATGATTAAATAAAGATGGGAATGTTCAATACAAGGTATTTGGAATTTAAATAATGTGAAATCTAGCATATCTTGGAGGTCATATTTTTACTTTGTATAAGGAAGAACTTTTTAACAGAACTATACTAAAGTTATTAAGCTTCCTCTGGATGTAGTGGGCTTCCCTTAACTTGAGGTCTTTGGGTAAAGAATCAGAAAGAGCTAATTTTTTTTTATGACTTTCCTGCTAGACCTTTATGTGCTCTTGTTTTGAAGATAACTTAAAGGGGATTCTTGGATTAGAAAGCCTTGGAAGTCCCTTGTAATGCTCAGTTTCTTAGAATCTGTGATAGTTGAATCATTCAGCTCACCAGGTGCTGAGATTCACTCATCTACCTTTGCACACTTAAGTGAGGCTTCTTGGTTTTGTTATAGTGGGATCTCTTCTGTACTGAAGAAATTAGGGACTAAATTGTTCCATTGTGCACATATTTAGTAGTACTCTTTTTGTATCTCCTCTGCCAACCGCCTCCCTGACCTGCCCACCCCAAGACCTCACCTACACCTCCCCCTGCAGCCCTCCATAGTTGGAAGGAATAATAATTAAAGCAGAAATGGCATTTCAGATACTTCTGATTGTGTCAACCCACTGTTACAGGACCATGATGTTAAGGAAATGAACATTCCTGAGTTTTTCTAGTCTAGATTTTACTTTAGATCTGCTAGTTAAATTGCTAATTGTCAAGTGTCTAGATGATAGGATGTTCTAAGGCAAACTTAGAATGTTAGGAAACCTTTTCCTGCTTGGAAAAAAAAATCTGTTTTTGTTTTGCTAAGAATAGAAGTATATATTCATGTAGTTTTCCTCTTGTATCTGCCATCTTTGAATGCTGGTATAGCAGACCCAGGCCTAGCATTCTGAGACATTTTGAAAGTTATTCTAGACAGTCTAGGTTTAGTGGCCCTGGAACATTTGGCCTCATCCTTATCCTACTTAGTTTAGAAAACCCAGGTTAGTGCAGTGGCCAGCTCTTGAATACACTTGAAGATTGCCCCAAGGGCCTCATATTTAAGGTTGATGCTAGAACCCTTCCCTAGTCTATTAGGGTTGAACCCAGGGCTAGTTTGGAATTGGAATAGCTTCAGGTTTATTGAGATAATGGGTTGGGTGGTAACAAAGAGATTCGTACTATCTTGTTAGAGTACAACTCTGCCATGGCTTGCTTGCTAAGCCATACTGAAAACATTCATTGCAATTTGTATATTAAAGAGGGTGAAACAGCATAAAGCTTAACATATACTGTTAAATCAGAAGAGCATGGGAAATAGATGGAGGGAGAAATATTAGGAAGGAATTGAAAATAGAGCAGAGGAATTGATTGTCATTACTTATGACAAACTTTATTTGTTAGGTGACAGTTTGGGAGGGAATGATTTGTTTCTTTTAAATTTTTTGGTGCTAGTATTTTTAAAACTTAATTTTGTTTTCAGTAAACAAATATCGTTTTCTCTCCTTACATCCTCCCTTCATTGATGAAAAAAATGAAAACCAAACCCTTGTAACAGATATGCATAGTCAGTCAAAATTAATTCCCACATTGCTATGTCCAAAAACAAATCCTCTCTCTTTTTTTTGTAATTTTTTATTTATTTTGAACAAATACAGAACGAGAAGAGGAATAAAAAAGAACATTTCAATGCACACAGCAGAACATAAGAGAGGATTCAGTATAAAACAATAAAATTTACATTTCAAGAAAACCTATATAATAAATACTGCACATTGTTTTCAAAGCTAACCAGCTTTTCTTTGCTGCCTTCTGAGCATTCTTTTGTTCTCTGCTATGCACTTTTACTTTATCTCCCCCCTAGAGAAGGCTGCAATTGTGTATGTGTGTACATAGATATCTATAAACACATACATATATACTCATATACATATTTCCACCTGTCATCTTTTTCTCTAGAGGTGCTGCCTGACATCTTCAGTCATAGGTCTAAGCCTTTCGGTGTTTTTCTGAATCAAGTAGCTCATCATTTCCTCCGCCACAGCAGTATTCCAACATAACCAACATCCCGTCTGAGAGATTGTCTGTGAAAACTTTCCCCCAACTTTCTGCATTCCTATTCTTGCGTACATTGGTTTTATTTATATAACAAAATTTTAATTTAAAATAATTGAAATTATGCATTTTGTACTTCAGCGATGAATGCTTTTGCCTGATGACAGCTGAATCTCCTTCTTTTACATCTTTTTCCCCTGGTTTGTTTGAAATTTCTGACCTTTTGTTCTTCCAAATGAACTTTGTTATTTTTTCTAACTCAGTACAATAATTGTTTAATAATTTAATTGGAATAGCATTGAATAGATTAGGTAAAATTATATTTTTTTATTACTTTGTCTTTACCCATGAACAATAAATATTACTCCTGTTATCTAGTTCTGACTTTAGTTGTATAACGAGTGTTTTATATTTATGTTCATGTAGTTCCTCTGTCTGTTTTGGCAGGTATACTCTCAGGTATCTTATACTATCCTCTCTTTTTGAAAATTCAGTTTTATGTTATTCTCAGTTCCAAATTATTTCTCTTCCCCTTCCCTCCCCCACACATTGAGAAGGCAAGAAATATAAAACCATTATAGATATGAAGTTATGTAAAACACATTTCTGCATTAGACATGTTCCAAAAGGAAAAAAAAGAACACAAAAAGAAAGAAAAAAGATGCTTCAGTCTGTACTCTAGGTTCATCAATTCTTAGTTTTCATCTAAGTCTTTTGGAATTGAGGTGGGTCATTGTGTAGATCAGAGCTACTAAGTTTTTCCCAGTTAATTATCTTTACAATATTGCTATTACTGTGTAAATTGTTCTTCTGGTCCTGCTTATTTCATTTTGCATTGGTTCATATAAGTCTTCTCAAGCTTTTTGAATCCATTTATGTCATCATTTCTTACAGCACAATAATATTTCATTACATTCATATATCTAACTTGTTCAGCCATTCTGCAATTGATGGACATCCCCTCAATTTCCGATTGTTTGCCATTGCAAAAAGAGCTGCTGTAGAATTTTTGTACCTGTAGGTCCTTTTCCTTTTTCTTTGATCTCCTTGGGGTATAGACGTAGCACCAACCATTATTGTTGGTTCAAATGATATGCAGAGTTTTATAGCCTTTTGGACACGGTTCCAAATTGTTCACCGGAATGCTTGGTTCGGTTTGCGATTCCACCAATAGAGAATTAATTATACCTGTTTTTCCACATTCCTTTCAGCATTGGTCATTTTCCATAAAGCATATTAGCCAATCTGAGGTGGCACGTCAGAGTAGTTTTAAATTGCATTTCTCTAATTATTAGTGATTTAGAGCATTTTTTTAATGTGGCTATTGATTGCTTGATTTCTTTCTGTGAAAACTGCCTGTTCAGGGGCAGCTAGGTGCCGCAGTGGATAGAGTACTGGCCCTGAAGTCAGGAGGACCTGAGTCCAAATCTGGCCTCATAGCAAACACTTGACACTTAACTAGCTGAATGACTCTGGGCAAGTCACTTAACCCCAGTTGCCTAAAAAAACAAAAACAAAAAGACTGCCTGTTCATATGCTTTGACATTTTATCGGTTGGGGAATGGCTCGTATTTTTATGAATTTGATTTGGTTCCCAATGTTCTTAAGAAATGAGACCTTTATCAGAGAAACTTGTTGGAAAGATTTTCCCCCTCCCCTTAGTTTCCTGCTTTTCTTACAATTTTAGCTTCATTGGTTTTGTTTGTACAAAAACTTGTTAATTTTATATAGTCAAAATTATCCATTTTTGCCTTCTGTGAACTTGTCTGTCCTTTGTTTGGTTATGAACTCTTCCCTTAGCCATGGACCTTAAGGGTAATTTCTTCCATGTTCTCCCAATTTACTTATGATTTCACCTTTTCTGTCTAATTCATGTACCCATTTTAACTTATGTTAGTATACAGTGTGTGATGTTGGTCCATGTCTGGTTTCTGCCAGACTACTTCTAGTTTTCCTAGCTGTTTTTGTCAGATAGTGAGTTCTTGCCGCAATAACGGGGATCTTTGGGTTTATCAAACACCAGGGTACTAGGCTCATTTACTTCAGTATATATTGTTTACTAATCTGTTCCATTCATCAACCACTTAGTTTCTTACCCAATACCAAATTGTCTTGACAATTACAATTTTTGTAGCATGGTTTGAGATCTGGTGCTGCGAGGCTCCTTCATTCATGTTTTTTTCCATTGATTGCCTTGATATTATTGACCTTTTGCTCCTCCATATTATTGTGCTTTTATTTTTACTAATACTACAAAGTAATTCTTTAGTAATTTGCTTGGTGTGATGCTGAATAAATAGATTAACTTAGGTAGTATTGTCTTTTTTGTTACATTGATTTGACCTACCCATGAGCAATAAATATTTCTCCAGTTATTTACACCTGCCTTTATTTGTGTGAAGAGTTTTCCTAATTGTATTCATATTGTTCCTGTGTGTGTCTTGGCAAGTAGACAGTATTTTATACTGTTGGCATTAATTTATTTCCACTTATTTATTTATTTATTTATTTTTGGTGAGGCAAAAAATGTGTGATCCTTGCCCAGGGTCACACAGCTAGTAGGTGTCAAGTGTCTGCTTTTATGTCAGCATTAATTTTAAATGGAATTTCTCCTTCTATCTCTTCCTGCTGGGTTTTGTTGGTAATATATTATAATATTGTGTGGATTATAATATTGATCATTTATATGGATTTAATTTATATCCTATAGCTATATTGAAAATGAGCCTTTTATCAGAAACTCTTCACAGTTTTTTTCCCTACTGACCTTCTTTGGAGGTGGTAGTTTCTCGAAGTTGGACTAGGAAAGTAAAAATAAAGCAGGGAGAGATTTCAAAAGTGTAATCATCACTATATTCAGGATTGTCAGGGTTTCAAGTGGTATTCTATGAATAGAAATATAAGTAAAAGAAAAAGCAGTGAAAAAGAAAATAAGATCTGTCACCTTTTTCTATGCTGTTTTCTGCTCAAGCTTCCATATGTGTCCATATAGATGTAGTTTACTGAATTAATGATATTAAAATTGAGCCTGTTCCTTCCACTTTCATGCATTACCAGATGGTCCTGTGATAATTCACCTCCTTCTGAGTTGCTTCTTTATGGCTGTGGAATTGACAGCTCTCTAATAATTGTACGAAGGTTCTTATGTTTTAAATCATGTGGTATAAGTGATTGAGAGACATTTCTATGTGTAGCTGGCCCTGTAGTCAGGAAACCTGAGTTCAGAGCTGCCTCAGACATTATGTATATAATCATACCTCAATTGTTGTAGTCTTCAAAGTGGAATAACACCACATGAACTTCCTACCTTACAAGGGTCTTAGACCTTGTAAACTTTAAACTACTATGTAAATATGACTAGCTATTGCATTTTGGTTGCCTAATTTTAAAAAAAAATTTGTTCAGTCTTAGAAGTTATACCCAGTACCCTATTTGTATACAAATAGTAGTAATAGTAACTCAAATTTATGACATTTAAGGTTTGCAGAATGTTTCATTTATAACATTTCGTTGAGGGGAAGATATTCTAGTACTGTTATTTCCCTTTACAGGTGAGTAAAGTGAATCTCTGAGAGGTTAAACGATTTTACCATAGTTGTATAGCTAATGATTGTTGGGAGTTGAATCTAGGTCTTTAAACTTTAGGTTTGGTGCTCTATCTGCCAGAAAATACTTTTGGATACTTGGAATACATATTTAGAATCAGAGAATTTTAAGATCCAAGAGGTACTACTTAGCATTCAGTCTGGTACTCCACACAGCTACTACCCCTGCAGCCTTTCATTTTGTAGATGAGGGAAACTGAGGCCTGAGAAATTAAAGTGAGTTTACCCAGTGGTACATAGCTAATAAGTGAAAGAACTAGGTAATCAAGATCTTGACATTAAGAATTTAATGAGTAATTTAATATTTAAGTAGTTACATAATTTGTACATAGCATTTATTTTGTTAATAAATTGTCCTTTTTTTTTAGGAAGGAGATGGATAAAGCAGATGTTTGTTGGGGCTTTCCTTGTTCCTGCAATGGTGTGTGGCACTGCCTTCTTCATTAATTTTATAGCCATATATTACCATGCTTCAAGAGCTATTCCATTTGGAACAATGGTAAGTTGCTTGACTTAAAACTTGTTTAGATCTTATTTTTAAATTGGAAAGTCAAGATCTGAGCATTCTTACATGTATTAGACCCGTCCAATTCTTTGCTCTCCAAATAATTCTTTTTTGCATCTTTTGATGAATATGGGTAATTCTTTTTTTTCTTAAAATGCATTCCTTGGAAAGCTGAGTGGGCAAAAGGGATCATTTCGGGGGTCGGGAACCTGTGGCCCTCTACGTCCTCAAATCCCCTTAATAAAAGGATTTGTTCTGTAAAACTTGGATTCAGTCAAAAGACTGCCCCTGAGGACCTAGAAGACCACATGTGGCCTTGAAGTTACAGATTCCCCACCCCTGGTTAGCCGTTCTTGCCATTGTGATACCTTGACTAGTGAGGAGGGGATTAGGTTTTCAGAAGTTCTGCCTGTGAAGCACTAGCTCTGATTTATCTTACCTTGCTGAAAAGTCTTCAAGTAGAGTCCTTGTAGCTATGGTCTGACAATCTGTCCAACTAAATTTAGAGGAATTTATCACTAGATTGAAGAATACAGGTGATTCATTTTCAGCTGCAGCAACTCTTGGAGACCATCTGCCAAGTTAGATAAAGGTTGTGGTCTGTGTTGGTTTAGGGTGTGGTCACATGATAAAATTTCAAATTTATAAAGTATTGAAATCTAGTTTGGGTTAAATATAAAACACTCACGAGTTCATCAGTTATATCACAGTTGAAGACCACCTCCACTCCTCCAATTTGTTGTTGCTACTTTTGGGCATTAATTGCTGTCTCTTTGTGAGTATGATGAGATGCTAATGTCCTATTGTATTCTAGCTTTTTTCATTGATGGACAGAAATTACATAATAAATCATTTTTACTTGATGAGAAATGAAATCTTTCTTAATTTGTTTTTTTGTGGCACCATCAGATCAAGCAGAAGAATTTAAAATAGTGAAAAGTGAGGCTACTTGTAGATCTGTATAGTAAATATATAACTGGGGACAGCTAGGTGGCGCAGTGGATAGAGCACTGGCCCTGAAGTCAGGAGGACCTGAGTTCAAATGCGACCTCTGACCAAACACTTGACACTTACTAGCTGTGTGACCTTGGGCAAGTCACTTAACCCCAGTTGCCTAATATATATATATATATATAAAACCTCTGTTTTTCCCCTCTTTGTGTAAAGGCTGTTTTTTGTGGTTTAAAATGTGTAAATTCAGTGGCATTCATTTTGACATTATTGATGTATTTCCATTCAAGATTTACTTATCTGTGTGAGCCTGCGCAAGTCACTTAACCCCAATTGCCTAAAAAAATATATATATATTATGTGATGCCCTGATAGTATAGCTTTCTATTATGCTTATTGCAGCAATTGTTTTATTATAACTATCGTCCTTCTCTGCATTTCCTTCTAGATCAGAAGAACCTTTTGTCAAATATAGTTGCTAATTAGATTTTTTAGATCTCCAGTTGAGAATTTTAATGAGTGATTGAGAGGTCTCTCCCATCTCTTCTGTTGAGGTGGAGTAGAAAAATGACTGGTTATGGAGTAAAAAACAAAACAAAACTGAGTTCACGTACCAGGTCTATCATTGACTAACTTTGTGGTATGAGAAAAGTCACTTGGTTTTTTGAAGCCTCAGTTTTTTCATCTCTGAACTAGGAATAGTATCAGTCATTTCTGCTTCAGAATATTTTTGTAGGGCTCAAATGAGATGGTCTGTGTGAAAGTTTTTGGTAACTTCTCCAGTGCTATGCTAATGTATTGCATATGTATTATGTTTCTTTCCTCCCTTCTTCTGGGAAGAGGTGAAGAAAGGACAAATTAATAGTTGTTAGGCACCATGAACTTTAGGTAAATTTCCAGTAAGCCCATTGTAAGTAGGATTTATAGTGGGTTTTTTTCCTAGCAGTTTGTACCAGAATAGAAAGTTCTCCTATTATTTCCATTCAGGATAGTTCTGGAAATTAGTAGAGTTAATCAAATCATTTTTGTAGAATGAAGATTATTGTGGTTGGCAGGGAGAAAACAAAGCAGATAATTGAATTTGTTTGAGTTACTGATTAGCAACTAATTTCCAATTTACTTTGTGCCCAGCTGGAGAGATGTAGAAAAGCCTGGAGTGTGGGGGTTGACAGAAATAGTCAAGAAACTGAATTCTTAAATATGTGGGTGACTGTATAAACCATTACTCTCTTCTATAACACTGACCTCTGGTGAGCTGATAAAGATCCTTGGCTTCTACACCAAAGAGCTCTAGTTGTTTCCCTGTGGCAAGGTCTCTCAAGGCTTCATTAACTCTTGTGGTTCAAGTCTTTGGGGAAATCATTAGGGATTTGTATAGCTAGACTGTGAGGTTCTGGAAAAGGAGCTACCTTTCATATCCTGTCCATTTGTCCTTCTCTTTCCCACTTTGCTATTTTTGGCCTGGGAGTTAAGTCTTTTGATGGAAGGCTGGTCATGGCCTCTATTAACCACTAGAGAGCTAGAGTTGAGAAGAAATGACTTGGGAAGATTTTATAATCCTTTTGATTTTACTTTGGTCTTGTTTCCTATTTTCAGACAATGCCACGGCTTAGGTGAATCAGTCCCATTTTTGTTCCCTGAACTGATAGATTATTCTCATTATTGAGCTTCTTCAGATCCTGATGTATCTGGGCACTTTTATTTGAATTTTGTCTAAGAAGTTTTTCAAAGAAGCATCAGACTTTTTAATCAAGTCTAACAAATGTTTTAATGTCCTTTGTAAAATGTTAAAAGTTTTTTTTAAGGGAAGAGTAAACAGTGATGCTTATAAAAAATACAGAGAAATGTCAGAACAGGAGATGAATCTGCATTCCAAATCATTAGGCTCAGTCTACCAGAAAACATATATGAAATCAAATAACTTCTTAAAGATAACCCTGCAGGATATATCATTCCCTATAACATCTTAAAAGTTAAAACCCTAGTGTTATGACTACTTGCAAGTTATTCTCATTGAGTCTTGAATTTGACATAACTGAAAATTATATTAGCAGAATTGTTCTGAAGTTAGAATATTAACAGCTTTATAAAGGAATGCTTTAAAGCAACTCTCGGGGTGATTTTATATTAGCTTGCTCTGGAATGGGAAATAATATCATCCTTTGTGTTAAACTTGCTTTAATAACCCGGATTGTCAGAATTTAATAAATTGATTCAGCAAGCTTACAGAAGGCTGGATGTTGGTACCAACTAATCATGTGCCTACAATATCATATTTCTTATTTGTATTATAATTTGAAGGTAGAAATGTTGATGAAAGGAAATTTTTTTGTTCTAAGCCTCTTTTCACAAACATAAACTCCTTCTCGGTAGATGTATTTTATTTTTGTGTCCTCCTTGCCCTGTCATACTTCTTTGCACATTGTCATAAGTGCTATTTATTGTTTGCACATAGTTTTAATCGGTGTAGTGCAGTATATTTTGTGATTAGTGAAACATTTTTAAAATGTAATTTAAATGTTTTAGGGAATATTTGATTTAAGTTTTTTGGTTTTCTTGAATACCCCCAGGTATTTGAATTTGCCTTTTTTTGGAGAGGAGGGAAATATAGAATTTTAGGGCTGGAAGAACCAGACCATGGGATCATCTAACTAAAGTGGCACAGATCAGTAACAAATTTGTTACTTTTTTTTTTTGACAGGCAGTTGGCCTTAGGTGACTTGCCCAAAGTCACATAGCTAGTAAGTGTTATGTGTCTGAGGTCAGATTGGAACTCAGGTCCTCCTGACTCCAGAGCCAGTGTTCTATCCACTGTGCCACCTAGCTGTCCCCCCCCCCTTTTTTTAACTTGTGTTACTTTACAATAGTTTTGTAGTGAAATGATAATTTAATAAGAGCTATGTATAAAAAGTACATAAGATTAGCCATAGGCTGTTGGAAATAAGAAAAAATTTGAATTCTAAGAGAACGTGTGAGAAGGAAATCTAGTAGATATCATGCCAAAAGAATTCTTAATAAACTGTTTAATGTATGCTACAGCCTGTTTGCTACACATAGCTTGTCTTAGATTTGTCCTTGTAAAAACATCTCTCAAGTTTTCAAATGTATGGTTAATGAGCTTGCTTTTCCCCTACTACTATCACCACCTTCTTCTCTCTTTTTCTCTGTGTCCCCCCTTCTCTCCCATCCCCCCCCAATCTGGAATGAAGTAGACTTGATTAGGTAAAATTTCAAAATAATTTTTATTTGATGCTCTACCATCTAGATATGTACTTGCCTCCCTCCTACTCCTAATACTTGTTTATCAGGACCTCAGTGTTCTCATGCTGCCTTGGGGTTGCCTAGATCCCTGCTGTCTTAGCCCTCCCTCTTCTGTCCATCCCCCCAACCCCCACCATAATGGGTCTCTCCAGTATCTCAAAGTGAATTCTTTTTCCCTTTTCTTTCTTCTTCCATCAAAACTCTCATCTTACCACTAATATTATCAAGAAAAAAAATCTGATTGAACTAATTCATAGCAACATATAAATGATTAATAATTTCCTCAGCTATCTGGGGGTTATTGATTAGTGCAAAAGAAAAACTCTCTTAATTGGTAGGGAAAAAACCTTTTTAGTTGGTAGAATTGTAGGGACATCTTTTGGCAGTAAATTCAACTCCTACAACATGGTCAGTAGTTACTCAGTAAACATTTATTAAGCGCTTACTACATGCCTGACACTCTGCTAAGTGCTGGGGATACAAAGAAGGCCTAAGACAGTCTCTGCCCTCAGGAAGCTCACAGACTAACAGAGGAGACAGACAAGCAAACAAATCTATACAAACACGTTATATGTAGGTTAAATAGGAATTTAATTGGAGAGAAGGCATTAGAATTAACAACGTTGAGGAAGGTTTCCTGTAAAAGATGACATTTTAATTGGGACTTGAATGAAGCCAGGAGACAGAGATGAGTTGAGAGCATTCCAGGCATCAGGGACAGCCAGAGAGAATTCCTGGACCCAAGAGATGGAGTATTTTGTTCTTGAAACAGCAAGACCAATGTCACTGGATTGAAGAGTATGTGTTGAGAATAAGGTGTGAGAAGACTGGAAAGGTAGGAGGGAGCTAGGATGTGAAGGACTTTGAACACCAAAAAGGGGATTTTATTTTTGATCCTGGAGGCAGTAGGGGGAGCCATTGGAGTTTACTGAGTAGAGGAGGTGGTATGGTTAGACCCATGCTGAGGGTAGATACTTGGATAGCTGCAGACTCACTAGCAGACTATTTCAGTAGTCCAGGTGTGAATTGACGATGGCCTGTATTAGATTGGTGACAATGTCGGAGGAGAGAGGACTGCATATTTGAGATCTAACAGAGGTGAAGTGGGCAGGTCTTGGCAACAAATTCAGTATGAGAGGTGAGGGATAGTGAGAAATCTAGGATGAATCCTAGGTTGAGAGCCTGAGAGACTAAGAGGATGATGTTGCCTTCCATAGTGATAGGGAAATTAAGAGGGTGGGGAAAGTTTAGGGGCAAGGTAATGAGTAACACCTATTGAGTTTAAGATATATATTGGACATCGATTTTGAGATGTCTGAAAGGCAGTTGGTAGTGGGAAATTGGAAGTCAGTAGAGATGTTTGGTGGTAGGAGGTGCAGCTGGGTGGTTAAGTGGGTTGGATGCCTGAGTCTGGAGTCAGGGAGTCTGGCCTCAGAAACTTAGTAGCTGTGTGAGCTTGGGCAAGGCATTTAACCCTGTTTATTCAGTTTCCTCCGCTGTAAAATGAGCTGGAGAAGGAAATGGCAAACCACTCCAGTATCTTTGCCAAGAAAACCCTAAATGGGGTCACAAAGAGTTGGGCACGACTAAAATGATTGAACAACAAAAGAGAGGTTAGGGCAGGAAAGTTAGATTTGAGAATTGTCAGCATAAAGATGATACTTAAATCTTTGGGAGCTGATGAGATCACCAAGTGAAGTAATATAGAGGGAGAAGAGAAGAGGGCCCAGGATCGAACCATATGGGCATGATCTCCATGAGAATCCAGAAGAGGAAGACTGAGAAATAGCAGATGAGTTGGAAGAGAACTAGGAGAGAGTAATGTCTTGAAAACTTAGTATCAAGGAGGTGTGATCTATGGCTGCAGAGAGGTAGAAAAGGTTATTGGGAGAGGATTCTAGGAAGTTGACAGAGCAGGTCAGAAAAGTCCAAGCTTTCCAGATTTCCCCCACAAACAAGATAAAATAGTACCTCAGGAGGAACATAGAGTGCTAAAAATGAACAAGAGTTGAGGCAGAACCATGGTCCTCCTGGGATAATAGCAGAAAATACTGAGTTTTAGTCCCTGTGAAGAGTAAACACTCCCAGGCTAGTTCCACAGAAACATAAGCCATGAGTCCTGGAGCTAGCTGTGTTGGGAGGTGGCCTCAGCCCCAGCCATAGGAATGTTCACCTCTGGGATAGTGTGGGGAGCTGCCCCAGAAGAAACTCTGCTGATAAGGACCAGCTGTGCTGCAGAGGCATGGCCCTGGGTGGGAGGGAACTAGCACATGCCCAGTACAGAAGCGGTGGGGTAGGGATGCCGCTGACTGTGGGCACTTACAGGAGGACAGAATTCTTGTTTTCAGTTCCAAGCTAGAGGGGAGAACTGAAGGAGGATCTGAGGCTAGAGGCACCATCCCCCATACCTCAGGATTAGAGGTGATTACAAAAAATAAGGTGCTACAAATTAAAAAAAAAAAAGAAAGCAGACAATGGAGAAAGACTCCAACCATAGAAAGTTACTGTGGGAATAGAAAAGACCAGGGTTCATCTTCAGAGGAGATTACTGAAGCAAAAAAAGCCTCTCCTACTCCAAAGAATAACATCAAACGGTCATCTGCCCAAGAAGAATTTAAAAATCAAATGAGAGAGATTGAGGGAAAAAGAAAAAGAACAATCCAAGAAAAACGAAGAGATTATGAGAAGAAAGTCAGCCAACTAGAAGAGGAGATCCAGAATCTTAAGGAAGAAAATGACTCCTTGAAAATTAGAATTGGGCAAGGGGAAGCCAGTGAAGTTATAAAAGACCAAGAAATAATACAAATATAAAGAATGAAAAAATAAGGGGCAGCTAGGTGGCACAGTGGATAGAGCTCTGGCCTTGAAGTCAGAAGGACCTGAGTTCAAATCTGGCCTCAAGACACTTGACCTTTAATAGCTGTGTGACCCTGAGCAAGTCACTTAACACGAATTGCCTCACCAAAAAAAAAAGGAAAAAAAAGAAAAAACATTGAATAGAATGCTAAACATCTTATAAGAAGAACGACTGTTTTAGAGAACAGATCAAGAAGAGAAAACATAAGAATAACCACACTACTTGAAAGCTACAATCAAAAAAAGAATCTTGATACAATAATACAAGAAATAATTAATGATAATTGTCCTGAAGTGTTAGAACAAGAGGGGAAAGTAGAAATAGAAAAAATCCACCAATCACCACTTTAAAGAGATTCTATGAAGAAATTTAAATATGGTGGTGCCACAATTAGAATCACATAAGACTTAGCAGCAGCTGCACTAAAAGACTGCAGGTCTTGGAGCACTATATATGGAAGAGCAAAAAAGCTGGGGTTGCAGCTGAAAATATCATACCCAGCTAAATTAAGCATAATCCTGAATGAAAAAGACATTTAGTGAATTGTCAGATTTTCAGGATTTTGTTAGAAAAAACAAACCCTGAACTTAATAAAATATTTGACATATGAGATATAGGTACATAACAAAGATTAATTACAAGGGAGTCAATAAGGACAGAATGCTTACCTTTTATACAAGGAAATGTAAAATGTATGTATAAGATTCTTACTAGTAACTGGGTAGTTTGTATGATATGATTTTTAAAAGTAAAACCGTTTAGGAACAGGTAAAAAGAGTAATTATTTTATGCAAATGAGGTCCAAGTGGAAGAACTAACAAGAAGAATTAGATGGGGGAGGAGGGCTGGTAGTTCTAGAACCCTACTTTTATTGGGAATGGGTCTAAGAGGGTAGAAGGGCACAAAAGTCTTCTAAATTCAAAAAGAAATAAAAGGCTAAGGGGATAGGAAGGGGAGAGAAGATAAGGGAGGGATTAGGATGGGGAGTGTAATAGAAGGGTATTTAGATTAATGAAAATGGGAGGATAAGGGCGGGATCCTGGAGGGAGGTGGGGGGGGCGAGGTAACAGGTAGAAGTCAGTAGAAGAATCAGGAGGAATAGGAGATAAGATACACACAAACATAAAATAAAGATCAGGAGTAGAATGTATTAGTGGGGAAAAAAAAGCAGGGATAGTAATCATGATCTCAGACGAAGTTAAAGCTAAAATAGATTTAACCAAAAGAGAAAAATAGGGAAACTACACTACATGTCAGCCATATTAATCAATAGTGTTTTAGACTATTTAAAATAACTAGACAGTATAAAGATGGATTATTGCTGTGGTGTAGGAAATGATGGGATGGTAGACTTAGAAAAATATGTGAAGACTTGGACATATGAAGGAAGCAGTTATCAACCCTCAGAGAAACACGACGAATAAGTATAGTAAGGTCTTGCATAGATGCATGTGAATGTATATATCTATATGAGTGTGATTATAGTTATCTAAGAATATATATGGTGTATGTAAGTGGACGTATATATGTGTAGATAAATCTATGTATGTATGTGTCTATATGTATGTGTGTGTATGTATATATGCAGAACAGAGTGGATTCATACAGCAATAAATTTCCATTTCAAGAAAGCCTATATAATAAATACTACACGTTGTGTTCAGAGCTGTCCATCTTTTCTTTGCTTCCTTGTAAGTTTTCTTTTGTTGTCTGCTATGCACTTTTTTCTTTGTGTCTTTTTCCTCCCTCCTCCCCACCCTTCACCCCCGGAAGGTACAGTTAAGCATGGATTACACACATAAACACACACATACACACAAGTTAAAACTGGCTCTGAGACTCCACAGTTTATTGTGCCACAGCTTCCTGCACCTATGGGCAGGCACAGACGTCTGTTGGACAATTCCTTTGTTCTCCTGAGGGGAGCTTGGGGGGGTTGGGTAAGTGGTGTTAACTTCTGTGGCTCTACAAGAACTTTGCTTCTGGTTTTGTTTTTTTTTTGGATAGGCAGTGGGGTTAAGTGACTTGCCCAGGGTCACACAGCAAAAGTGTTATGTGTCTGAGGCCAGATTTGAACTCAGGTACTCCTGAATTCAGGGCCGGTACTCCATCCACTGCATCACCTAGCTGCCCAAAATTACATACCGGCCAATGTGGGGCTCGAACACACGACCTTGGGATTAAGAGTCCCATGCTGTACCGACTGAGCTAGCCGGACAGGTCTTTGCTTCCATTTTAAAGAGAGGCTTTGATGAAACAGAACATGGAGCTTGGAGTTGGGAGAGACCATGGTTCACATCTTATCCCTGACATTTATTAGTGTGATTGGCAAATTACTTAACCTTATTTGAGCCTTACTTTCCTTATCTGTCAGATTGGGGTAATACCAGTAGTACCTACCTCGTGAGGTTGTCTTCAGGATCAAATGAGATAAATGCACGTAAAATACATTGTAAACCTTAAAGCCTTATGCAAATATCATCTGTTATTATTAAAGTAAATATAATTTGTGTTTGACTATTCTCTTGACCCTTAGTCAAACAGTGGAGATATGTATGAGATTGGGGAAGGTGGGGGACAGGCACCAGCATCTAGACTGGTAGGAAGTCCTACCAGTTGGGTCATAATGATCTAGTGGAAAGAGTACTAGATGGAGAATTGAAGGGTCTGGGTTTGTGATGTGACTGGTATGTGACCATAGCAAAGGAGAGCTTTTAATGCCATTAAAGCAATGTTTAACCATTTTAAAACAAAACAGAGTTATCAAAATGTGGCCTTAGTTTCTTATACGGTTTTGCCTCAGCTCAATTTCATCATGATTTGGATTTAACAATGTTTTGGTTTTTCAGGCATAATTCTCTGACATTGTTTCACAGTAGCATCTTTAAAGCATTATAAGCAGTCGCCATTATAAATAAGGTTGTAAAATTATACTGTAACGTCATTTGGCCCATTGCCTTTTTATAACTATAGTTCCTATAACTTAAGATAGGGAACATTGAAGGCTTTTGAGGAAGTTGGTGATGTTAAATAAATGGTCTTTTGGGAAGATTACATTGCAGTGTACAGAGTGTATTAGAGAAGGGAAAGAGTGAACAGAGGGAGGTTGATGCACACTAGACACAAAGTGGACTAGGAAGTGCAGTGGAAAGTATTGGGTTTAGAATCAAGGGGACCTGGGCTTGAACTCTAACTTCATATTACCAATGCCACTTTCAGCAAATTTAACCTCTGTCGACCATAGTTTTCTCATCTATGAAATTTGGAGGTTGAACCAGATAACCTTTAAAGTGTTCCAGCTCCAGGTCTACTGTGATCCAGTGATCTGTTACCTCATTTTTTCCCCTCAAAATAATTCAGTTACCTTATTTACCCCACAAAGGAACATGAACCTTAATTTAAGAAGATACTGAGGAAAAGTTATGTACAAGTGGTAAACCTGTAATCAGTGGCCTGTAGGGATTATACATTTTCTACTGATCATCTTACCTTCTGAAAGTTAACTTTTTTTCCCTTCAGATTTTTGTCTTTCATTTGTGCCATTTCTCTCATTATTACTTTTTTCAGCCTTGAATTTCATCGTGCTTTCTTCTTCTTAGCTACTTTTCATACACAAAGTCACGTTAAGTTCTATTCATAGAACCTATTTTCTTAAATATTTCTAGATTTATCTGATTAAAGGCTGCCTAGGCAATTTCAGTGTCAAAGCTGTTGTTTGCAGTTACCCCTCTTCACCACTAGATGGTAGTGTTGCACAAATTTAAGATCGTAAATGATAGTACTTTATTTCTCAGGAATTCCAGATTTTCCTGGTGTATCTTTCATTAGCCCCATTTTATTATAAGGCACAATAATCATCTCTTTTCCCAAACAGATGTTTTTGTGTTGTCATAGATTTCAGGGACTGATACATGATTTCCGGTAGTTTTAGATTAGAGAGGCAACATAATATAGTAGATAGAGAACTGGCTTCTGAATTAGGAAGATTGGGGCTCAGTTCCAGTGTCTGATACGTACAAGCAGTATGATGGTAACCCTGGTCAAATTACTTCACCTTTCAGGGGCCTAGGCAACTCTCTTAAGACTTGAAGTTGCAAAACAGTTGGGAGATCTGCATCAGCAGAGGGAGATTCCTTATTAGAACTCCCCTCCCCCCCCAATGTTATAAACGTCTAGTGGACTTATGTTGTATAAATATGGCAAATGCTTTGTGGTTGTAGGTAGATGGCTAATTATTTTTTGGTCCCAATATCATAAATAAGAAATGAATTTAATGATGAAAGATCTATCCAGAGTATGAAAATTTGGGGGGTAGAGAAATGGCTGTAGTAGAAACAATGTAGAAGAGTAGGAGGAAGAACCTTGCATATCATGTCAATAGTCAAGTAGATAGCCCAGTAATAGAAAGAACCTTGTCTTAGAAGCAGAATTCTAGCTCTACTACTTAGTAGATGTCTGACCTTAGGAGTATAATTTTTTTTTTAGAATTAAAAGAGATAATGTCTGCAAAAGTGCTAATAAGTCAGCTATTATTGTAGCTAAATATTGATTTTTTTTGAAAGTAGGACTTTTTCCTGAGCATTTTAAATTTCTTATTTAAAGCAAATTATGTAGCTAATCTGGAAAGACTGAGGAACTTTAATAATTTTATGATTACGTAGCGATGAAAGTACTTTCATGTTACTTTAATTTATCCTTGTTGATATTATTGTAAACTGTATTTTATGTAACTGTAGACATTTTGTTTAATTTGCAGGTTGCTGTTTGTTGCATCTGTTTTTTTGTTATTCTTCCTTTGAATCTCGTTGGTACAATTCTAGGCAGAAATCTGTCAGGTCAGCCCAACTTTCCTTGTCGCGTCAATGCTGTGCCTCGTCCTATACCGGAGAAAAAATGGTAAAGAGAAAATTATGGCTTAAATATTTGTTTCTCGGAATAAAACAGTCTTTAGAGCTGTAGGTAATTTTGACATCATAGCTTTAGCATATTGAGTACTTTAGATTTGATTATAGGAATTTGAAAGTTTTGATTTATTTCAGTTTATATTTCAGTCCAAATTGACATTTAATTGAATTTTTTTAAATGGCATGGTGCTCTCATATAAGTTAAAGTGATGATAGAATTGGAGTGGAGAGATGGCTTGGGACACTAAAGCTTCCCGTTTCTTAAAATATATGTACTGTTGGTCAGAACAACAATAAATGATAGGCACTTATTTATTTTCTTTGGCATGTAGGTCCTTCCCCTTTATTTTTGAATTATTGGAGCTCAGGTTAGAAAGATTGTAGTACTACTACCTTAACCTTTATCTTTATTATTGCTATAGTATGAAATTCTTCACAAATTTTGTACTTTTATTAAAAATGCTCAAATTTCATCTAATTTGAGGACCTGACTTCAAATCCAGTCTCAAACACATACAACATGTACTAGTTGTGTGACCCTGGGCGAGTCATTTAACCCCAGTTGCCTAGCAAAAAAAAAACCCAAAAAAACAAAAAAAAATTTCATCTAGTTGAGTGTTGATTTGGTCATGTCACACAACAAAATTTGCTGAAGTATGAAAAGCAGACAGAAATAGAAGAATTTTATTATGGCACTATATCTATTTCAACCCTTCGTGACCCAAAAGACTAGAGTAAATGGTGCAAGAGAATGTGGATACATACAGGGAAATTTGTTGAAAAGTTTTTATACAAAGCTTTTTTAACCTTTTATAAATACTGCCCTGAAAACAATTCTTAGATATATAGGTATCCATTATTTTTGCAGTTCTGCCCCTACAGTTTGAGAATCCAAGAACTAGAATGAACTTCTTTGTTATCAAACAGGTAACTTCCTTCATTTTCAGAAGGAAAGTCTGTCTTCTTTGTTATTCATAATAATAGAGTTGCCTGTGCCTCTTTTCTTAGATTACTCGGTGGAGAAAAATTCCCCATTAGGAAAGCTATTAAATAACGCTGAACTTTTAAAGTCAATTTATTTTATTTTAATTGAAAAACAGAAGGGGCCAACTTTTGGCTTTATTATCTGGATGGCATAATATTTGGGAGAAAACACCATCTATAATCGGAAAGGAAAGAACACAAATGATGACAGGTCCTACAAAACTGGAGGGCTTTGGGATATGAGAGTCTAGTAATGTCTGTATTTGGAGAGGTTCTTCATCAGGTTATCTTTAGGGTGATGATTGACTCTGTTTCAAAGTAGTTGAAATATTTATTGGTGGAGCAACTATCCACACTAGCAAAAGCATAGGTCCTTGAAGTTGAAAGCATGACCAGTGATTAGCTGCTTACAGAGCTCTGTTATCAGATTGTGTGTTTTTCCCATTTGAATTTTAACTTTCCTTTAACTCTGAGAGGGAAAAAAAACCGTGGACTAAGTATTTAATGAAGATTTGTGTGCTGTGAAAATTATATAAAGTTATGTCATTTTTTCAGGTTCATGGAACCAGCCGTTATTGTTTGCCTCGGAGGAATTTTGCCTTTTGGCTCAATTTTCATTGAAATGTAAGTTTTAGTGATGGTTTCTTTTCTTGAGGGATTAGAAGAGAATAAATTGGAAAATTGGGTAGATACAGAATTATAGGACATTTCACTGGGCTTCCTAGTTAAACCTTCAACTTTTGGGAAAGACTTCTAGCTTATCTCAAAGGTTATCACCCCCGTTTTCAGAAATTCATATTTTTTAGTTATGCTTTGGAATATCACATAACTAATAGGAGGGTTAGAAATTTAGGCCTAGATTCCAGAGCCTGGTCTATCATCCTATGACTGTAACTTTCAGCTGCTACATTTACCCATGCAGATGCCTCAGAGTTACTGTTTGTATTTCTTGTTCCTGAGCTTCACCTTATCCTCTGAGGGATGGCAGAAATGGGCGGGAGAGGTAAGACCAAGAGGTTTTCACCAAACCTCTTCTAGGACAATAGCCAGAATAGCAGTAGACTTATTTCTGTCATTTTGTTTAGGTACTTCATTTTCACATCTTTCTGGGCATACAAGATCTACTATGTTTATGGCTTCATGATGCTGGTGCTTGTCATCCTTTGCATTGTGACTGTTTGTGTAACCATTGTATGCACATACTTCCTGCTAAATGCAGAGGATTATAGATGGTAAGTACTTAGAGCAAAGACTTTTTTGAATTAGTTACAAATATTGCCAGGATAGTAGGAGTATTTTAAATTCGGTCCTAGGTATAAGGAGAATAGGTAAAAGGATGTGTTTGAATACTTTGATTCTTAAGATAAAATTGTTCTTCCAAGGTGTATAAAGAACTGATTGAAATTATAAAAATAAGAGCACCTGCTCAGTTGGTAAAAGGTCAGAGGATATGAAGGATATTGCATCTTTTTTGTGGAAGAAATCCAAGCTATCAATAGCTGTATGAAAAAATACTCCAAATCATTAATAATTAGAGAAATGAAACTTAAACACAACTTTAACGTTTAACCTCACATGCATTGGAATGGCAAAGGTGACAAAAAAAGGAAAAATGCCAAATGTTAGATGAGCTTTGAGGAACAGCATCAGTACACTATTGTTGGGGCAGTCAAATGGCCTGGCCGTTATGGACAGCAATTTGGAACTGTGCCTCAAAGCTTACTAAACTGAATACCATACCCTTTGATCCTGAAAGACTACTAGTTCTGTAACCCCAAAGAGATTACAGAGAGAGAGAGGGAGAGATAAGGAGAGAGAGAGAGAAAACGAACCGATATGAACAAAAATATTTAGAGGCAGCCTCATGGCCTACTGGATAAAGTACTGGACTTGGAATCAGTAAGACCTGAATTCAGATCCACCCTCAGATAGATAGTTACTGATTTTGTGACCATGGACAAATCACTTAGTCTCTCCCAGTCTCAATTTCCTCATACATAAAATGGGTACAGTAATAGTTCCTAGCTCCCATGGTTGTTGTGAGATAAAGTAAGGCACTATTTGTAAAACACCATACAAAAAGTGCTATATAAATGCTAGAATTATCTACATCACTGTCATCATTATCATCATTATAGCAGTTCTTTTTTGTGGAGGCAAAAAAAAAAACTGGACAAATTGTAGAGTGGCCCAACAAATAAATTGTGGTATAAGAATATAATGGAATACTATTGTGCTGTTAGAAATAGTGAAAGGGATGTTTCGGAGAAATCTGGGAAGATTTATAAGAATTGATGAATAGTGAAAAGAACAGAATCAGGAGAATAACTTCTGCAATAAAAATAGCATTTTAAAGTACTTAAAACAACTCTAATCATTGCAGTGAACTGCAGTGCAGGCACTCTGCTGACTTGTTGTTTTCTGAGTCAACGTGAGGTCCCGTTTCTATTTGAGTTTGACATCCCTGCAATAAACAAGAGTGACTCCAGAGGACTGACCTACCTCCTGACAGAAGGGACAGACTCAGGCTGCAGACTGACATGAACATGACCACTGCAGGAAATTGTTTTGGTTGACTGTATATTTGTTACAAGGCAAAGCAAGGAGAGAAAATAGATTTTTGTTCAAATAATTCTAACATAAAATTTTTAAAGGGAAGTAATCAGGTGAATATTTTAATAAGACTACTCTGGTGGTGATTTTTACAAATTTCATAATCAAACATCATCTTGAGATAAGAAATAGGCAACGTTGTGTTATTTTATAGACCCAGAAACTGTAGGCAGAGAAATTAAATTATTCTCCTTAGGTCATTGTGTAATGGTGAATACAGCAAGACAAAGCAGAACATCTGTGTTTTTAATGTTATTTTTGTGTTAATACTGTCCTTATTCTGTGGTATTATGTACATGTGTATATTTTTTGAAAAATTTACTGTTCTAATCCAAAATAGCATTTGAAAAATTACAGTATTACAGGTACTTTCCCAGAATAAGGAATATTTTATTGCAAGGTTTTTCTTTAACTGCTCTGCATTTGATAGAGATATGTTTGTTTTTTAGGCAATGGACAAGCTTTCTTTCTGCTGCATCAACTGCAATCTATGTTTACATGTATTCCTTTTACTACTATTTTTTCAAAACAAAGTAAGTGGTGTCTTTTTTCTTTTATACATACAGTAAGCTAAACCTATCCTTTTCTCTAAAGATACAGAACTATAAATACTGTGATTTATTCTCTCTCTCTCCATATATATGTATATATGTATACATACACACCTATGTATATATTAAATATGTAAAAGGGCAACAAGGAAAATCTGCATAATTATTTTTATTTCATTTCAGGATGTATGGCTTGTTTCAAACAGCATTTTACTTTGGTTATATGGCAGTATTTAGCACAGCCTTGGGGATAATGTGTGGTAAGTTGATCGGTTTTGGAAGCTGATTAGTAAATATGTTAAAACTACAAACAGCAGTATAGTAATTGAAAAGTCAGAAATTACATTCTGTGCCATATGTTTTATGATCAGGAAGGTTGAAAAATAATCTTGAAGCCCCAGTTTTAGGTCTTCTTGAAGACTGTAAAACCCAATTTTAAATGTTCCCATTTTTATTTTGTGTTTCATATTTGGGGGGAAAGTTGAATGGAAACAAAAGGGTAAAATAAGTTTTATATATTTCCTATGAATTTCAGTTTATGCTGTTCCTGTTACCATGACCCTTAGAGAGTAAAAAACTCATTTGTTTATTTCAGAAGGTTAATTTCCTTGGAAAATTGCCTATTGAACTCTTGTAGCAAGACTTCTTGTGCTCCTTTCCTAATTATCGCCAACTTTTAGTTAGTTAATAAATATCCAAGGAGTAAATATTTAATTCTTTTCTATTGATGAATTTATTTTACTTCAGCATGGAATTACTTTTTTGTTGTCTTTTATTAAAGAAGTCACATATCAGGTAATTATCTGTGACTTTTTTATTTGTGTAATCTTGAGAAGACCTAGGGAGGCAACATCTTGACATTTATAAAGAAAATGGAATGAATCTAGCAAAAATTTTTTAGTGTTTTTCCTGTGGAAATTTTATTTTACTGCTGGATATCCTTGGCAAATTCCATGGGCCCCTGCTGTTCTGGCAGTCTCTCAACCATTTATTCTCTAATAGGCTTATAGGCTTTCAGTTTTAATCTTTTTTTTTAACTGTTCAGTCTGGAACTGATTAAAATGTCACCGTAATACAAGAATTGTACACTTTTATTTCAGTTGCTAAGATGTGTTAGAGAAATTGGTAATTTGAAGGGAAAATATATACTTCTTTTTTTTTAATTGAGGAAAAAGCAATAAGTATTTTAAGGTAGAAAATACAGTTTTTATGTTTATACTTTCTTAACCGTAGAATTTTAGTTTGTCTTGAGGAACTATCATTGGAATCAAATATTTTTGTTAACACACTCTATTACTTGTAATAGTGTAATTCACAGAAACATAAAATTTGTGTGTTATGAGTAATCATTTAATCCAACTATACACGAAAGGAACCCCTCTATAACATTGGACAAGTGGCTGTCTAAGTTCTGCTGGAAGCTAATGGTGTCTTTTTTTTTAAGCTTCTTTATAAACTATTGCATGGGAAAAATGATGCTCCAGGTTAATTTTTTTCTATGCTTTTGATTAAAAGTGAATTGTGCATCAAAGGCGTGGAAAATTGGATTTGGTTTTAAGCTAGTCTTATTTATTATTTAAAATTTTCTATTAGTGTTTTTATTAAAAGTTAAGTACAATTTTTAAAATGTCGTGTATCTATGGACTTAGGATAAATTTGTCTGTGAACTGTCTTTGTAATTTGGTTGACCAGCTCTTTCATATTGGAAAATACCAATTATCTTTAGTAAAACAAACAACTATTTAGTTAAAAATAGACCCTTTGGAATTTACCTAAGCATGGAACATGAAGGATAGAGAGTGGACATATGGTTTCATTGGTAAAGGGAACTTCCTGATGAGAAAACTTCCTCTACCAGTGTAGGGCAGTACCTTCTCTGCAGCTTATAGTCTTTAGGGAGTTGCCTGAGCCACTGAGAGGGGAAGGGACTTGCCCAGGGTCAGGATCACATCTATAGTACAGATATGGAATTGAAGGGGAACTTGAATGCAGGGCTGTCTTCCTAGCTTTGAGACTTGCTCTCTACTATACCACACTGTGTCTAAGGTATGATTCTTTTAAAAATCCAATAAAAATTGACCTGCAAGATAGCAGTTCCTGGAAAAAAAGTTTTTTGAAGCCATACAGTCTCTGCCTTTAGATAATAATTAAAATCAACAAACATTAGAACATTACTAAGAATAAAACTATCAGTTGAAAATGCTACTTTTTTAGCTTCTTTGAATGTAGAGAATAACTTAGATCTTGGCATTAGTCCTGAAATATTCCATGAATTACTTTAATTTCACCTACTGAGATATCCTGTAATGAGATATGAAGTGTCAATAGGCAAACGCTCAATTCCAAAAGTAATTAATGGTATATTACTTGTATCTTCATTTATGCCAAATTTACTTTGCCTTATAAATGCATGGAAAACCAAACAGGTGGGAGAATAATCTCCAGCCTTAGCTCAACTCATCTTTAAGGTTTTATCAAATCAGGAACTGATCTGGATTTTGTGTGTGTGTGTGTATGTGTGTGTGTTTGTGTACATAAAATAGATATAATAGCTTAGATTTACATAATGTCTTTATTTTGAGGAGCCTAAAAATCCTTCATGTGGACATTCTCAGTTATTAATTTTTGCCTTACTCTGTAAGATCCATGCCCTGGATCACAAATTCCAAGCCAGGCAAAATTCTCTTTGATGTTTGAATTTCAGAAAACACACAGTCACACTAATATGTAACACTTGACTTGTGTAGCAGAGTTTTTTGATCATTTTGCAGAAAAATAGGTAAAATGTTTCTAAAAAAACTAACTCTTAAAATCAGTAAATATCTGTAGATGATGAATACTGTTTTAAATATTTTTCTTTGCTTTTTCAGGAGCAATTGGTTACATGGGAACAAGTGCCTTTGTCCGAAAAATCTATACTAATGTGAAAATTGACTAGAGAAACAAGAAAACTGGGAACTCTGGATCAGTTACTGTTTCATAGGGGTGGAACTTGCACAACGTAAAGCGCAAGAAGATAATTGGGCTTTAACACTGGGTACTTTGTGGGTCTCTGTTTCATGGATGGCTTAAAGTAACATCTATTTTCATTGATCCTAGGTTCTTACTGACTGCTTTCTCCAACTGTTCACAGCAAATGCTTGGATTGTATGCTATAGGCATTACTACAGTACATGGCTAATCTTCCCAAAAACTAGCTCATTAAAGATGAATAGACTAGCTCTCTTCAGTGAAGAGGACAAACAGTTTATTTAAAGCATTTGTTCCATTTAAATAAAAAAGTGGGAAACTTGGCTGCTAAAATTACATGAATAGAAATCTTTCTGGAATTTGGATATTGAAAAAAGAATAGTGTTCCAGAAGATTACTTTTCCCTTATTTTTGCTGCCATTGTCAGGATAGTGGGATGTTTTTATATTTTGGATCTGGGCTCTATATTTTTTTCCAGTTCATTTGCCATATCAACTATACCTACATTCATTTGTTTAAGAGAATTAAAAAGTATATATATATTAAAGCCTGCATGTAATATATCTGCTGTCGTTCTATTTGGACCAATTTCCCATTTATTTATCTTTAAAATAAATATCCAGTTACATCTTAATTCCATCCAAAGAAGATACAGTCTGAAGACAGAGATGTATTCTCTACAATGCAATTTACTGTACAGTTAGAAAGAAAAATGTTAAATGAAGAAAATACTTGTTTTTATCAAACATTTGGAGTTCTACAAAACATTTTAATTGAATGTCTAAAGTGATTATCTTCCTTACCACCCACCCCTCCTCCTTTAGTCTTACATCTTTTGTTTGGGTTTGAATGAAGGCTTTACGTAAATTAAGACATTATTAAAAAAAAATGGGAGGGAGGGGGAGAGGGTAATAAATGTATATAACATGAAATAATGTAACTTAGTTGTAGATCCCAAATGCATTTGGATGTACAGATTTACTACGGAGTACTTTTTCTGATGATGATCTGGTGTAGAAATATGTGAATTTGGGTAGCTTTTTACATCTTGCTTACCATTGCATGAAACATTGGGGTTTCTTCACAGTGTGTGTGTGTGTGTGTCATACTTATTTTTCAGGGGAGGGTTGTTTTCTTCTTTTTCTTTCTGAGGCTTTTACTGGAGCCAAATTTGTAATTTAGAACATTTAATTTTGTTAATCCTGTCTGGACACATACAATATCTAAAGCATTACTGCTTTAGAGTGTTCAGAAAATTAAAATAAAATTTCCTGACAAAATTGTTTTGATTGTGAAAATAGATGTGTTTGCAGTTTGAAAAGTCTGTTCAAAAAGGCAACTATTACTGAATGCCAGTTTTTATATACAGTGTTGTTTTCAAATCCAGAGAACCCACACTTTAGAGTCCAGAGTCCTTGCTTCCATCTAGATTGTCCTGTACAATTCCAGAATTAATGACTATCCATTCTTGGTTGGCCTTTGGTGTGTTCAAGTTGGTATGTTGTGTGAAAAGTAGGAGTGTAGTATGAGGATTTCTTAAAATGGGCAAATAAAGGTCACACATTTCAAAGTGTAGTGATGGTCAATTTTGCAGTATACCTGACCAGAGAATATTTGAAGTTGTTTTCCTTGGCATGGTAAAATTGCTAACTGTAACCTCTTGTTAGGCAACATGACCACATAGGACAATATCATGTTAATATTTTTGAAGACACAAAACATCTGTGTTTAGGCCTAAATAATGTGTAACATTCATGCAACTCATTACATATCATAATGGATAATGGATCTTGTAATAGGATGGAGTCTCTCTAAGGTATATTTCTGTAAACTGACTGTATTGTGCATCTTTCATGTTGTATGTAAGGTGTATGAATGATAAGATGATTTGAAAAAAAAATAGTTCTTTCTTGCCATTGAGTAAGGATTCTATGAGAAAATGGGAATGTTTTTAGAAGTAGAAAGTAAATCTTAAGTGAAATCATATTCACCAAGCTGAAAAAGTACACTAAATTCCAAAAGTAAAACATTTTGGTTCTTTCCCTCCGTATTCTCAACGACTTTGACAAATAAGATCTTTAGCTACTTTTGTGAAAATATAGTTGCTTATGATTTTTAATTTCAAATGTGTGAATGTTACAGTACTTTTAAGATAAAAGCACACAGTCTGTCAGGGATAAATTGAATAGGAAGTGCTTTGTCTTTATGTTGAATGTGGTTTATTTGACAAGATTTCGACTATGGAAGGAAAATACATTTTAAAATTTAGTTGCTTTTTAAGTGAAGATAGTTACACTAAAATCTGTTTCTGGTTTTTCTTTTTAAATCTTAAATGAAAAAGTAATTTTGTTAACTCTAAATCCACTAAAGATGAAAGAGAATTCATCTCGAAAAGGGCTTTTTGATTCTTGGTGCCTCCATAGTTATAGGTAAATAGATCACTGTGTAGTTTGAAATAATTCACAGAAGGACTACTTATATTTCTTAATGTTGAAGGGGGATAGTGAATAGAATTGGTTATTGAAATGGAGATTGTTTTTGTCATCCCCAAAATGTTGTGTGAATTTTCTTTCATTTAACATTATTTCCATCATCATATTCTAAGTGCATTATCAATGCATAAATTGCTGAAAGGGACAAATCTTGCCTTTGTTTCTGTAAGCATGTTTCTATTGAAACAATTGTGTAATGAAGTGACATGTCTTTGTATATCCTGGCATAGGAGCAGGGTGAAAGTAGAGGAGTCTGTTTAAGGGGTTGTAAAGCCTTATTTATATGTTGTATTAGACTTTTCTGAGTATTACCCTTAAATAGAGACTGAATAACTCCAGAATTTATTGTAGTATGATGATATCTGAGCTGGGCCATATGCTCAGGTTTCCTGTGTAACCACTTAGGAGTGGTTGCTACAAGTTGCAGTTTATGATGACAGCCACTTTTAGATTTCTTCAACTTGAAACTAAAAGCAAGTTTTATTCACTTTGATACAGCTTTTCTTTTTTGATTTCTTAAAACTATTTAGTGACCATTTGATGCCAAATGTTCAAGCAAATGTTTGAAAGCATTCTGAAATTATGAAAAAAACTAAATAGTTTGCAGATATAACTTGTGTTGTATATAAAAAGCTAGGCTCCAGAAGGCTTTTTGTGTATGAATTCTTGAAAGCAGCCTCTTTGGAACTATATAGTGGAGTTCCATCTGTATTTAAGTAACAAATTAATGACATATCTTAGTATTTAACCCCATTTATTGGTTTGAACACATGAATTGAGTAGTAAAAAAAAATCAGAACACACAAGTGCTTGAAAAATTTTGTCTTAATTCACAACTAAATTGTTTTTTTTTTTTTAGGCAGTTGAGGTTAAGTGACTTGCCCAGGGTCACATAGCTAGTACGTGTCAGGTGTTTGGTCTGAGGTTGGATTTGAACTCAGGTACTCCTGACTTCAGGGCCTCTGCTCTATCCACTGCGCCACCTAGCTGCCCCCAGAACTAAATTGTTTCAGCAGCTGAAATAAAAGAGGACAGGGACAGGGACAGAAAGGTTTCTGGAAAAATATTCACTTATGTTTAGGTCATTTGGAAATTTACTTCACAGGTTTATAGAGAATAGATATGAGCCGTAGGTAATACAGAGATTTACATAATACATTTTAGCTGCAGAATGTTTTTAAGATTTAATTATTATACAAAGGAATGTTATAGTTCCATTCTACATAAGGAGCCATTCTTCTCCAAGAGATAGCTTGTTGATTCTCCTTGAAGATTGTAGACGAAATCATACAAAAGAAGAGTAGAAAAGTTATATGAGAATTACTTCAGTATTTCAGAAAAAAGAAATGAGAAAGCTGCCTCCATGTCTTTATATGAGAGGCCTGATTGAATTGAGTTTGGAGGGGGTCTTGCTAAGTAATAATTTAGTGACAGTGCAATATACTGTATCTTCATCCTAGGAAATCATTTTGTGCTGTCTCTTTGGCTGGAGTAGCACAGCATGCTTGAGGCAAGGCAGAAATAACATTGGATTCTGTGTAAAGGACAATAGTGGATTAATCTTCTTAAAAGCCACCTGCTGTGAATTAGCACGCATGGAAGGGCAGTTATACTTGGGCTTTTTAAAATGTTTGAAACTTGAATTTATAAATCCCCATAGGGCAAGGATGATCAGTGACAAAATTGGGAGGAAACAGTTGTTGCTTGCTGATTATATTCATTTTGTACACACTCCTGCTCTGTGCAAGCCATAATTTGCCACCTGGCTTTTTTTGAGTACTAGCAAACCAGTATAATGTATCAAGTACCTCTCTGAGGTTCTGGTGTGTTGTACCTTAACTGAAGTTGGTTTTTTTAAAGTAATAAAAAATGTTAAACTTATGATTCCATGGGTGCTTGGTTTCTTTTTGCTTTCTGAAAAATTAGTTTATTTATAAGGTAGCCTTTGGTAAAGTAAAATACTATCATATCAGTATAACTATAAGGAGGTGGCTAACTTTTCACATAAAATTTAAATGTTTTTGAAAATTTTTAAATTTTAACTTTTAATTTTTTTTTCCTCTTAAAATTCTCATTCCATCCTCTGACTTTCTTTTTTGTGGTTCCTACAGTCTTGGACTTAAAGACTTTCCCTTCAAAGTCTATTCCTGCAAGTCCTATTGCTCTGCAGCTTCTGATTGAGGACATATTACCTTGCATTCTTGGAAATATTTATTACTTTCTAAAAGCAGTTTCTTACATTTTATTTTACTCTTAGAATAATTTTGTGGGGTATGTAGAGTCTTGATTTATTGATGAGGCAGGAGGGAGGCTGTAGTGATTTTCTAAGACTATAGAAATAGTAGGCAATCTTGATTAAAAGCCAGGTGTCTTACCCTCTGTTCTTTCATTTAGAAATCTGTATAAAACTGAGTTAGTGATCTGCTTCATGGTTGTGAGAATCAATTAATGATGAATGTAAAAGCATTTTTAAGGCTATAGGATTGTAGCTTTAGGGATAGAAGGGACCTTAAATGTCATACACTTAATGAAGATTTGTTAATTGAGTAATCCAATTCTTTCATTGTACCGTTGGGGAAACTGACATACAGAAAAGTTAAGTGACTTGCCCAAAGCCTCATAGGTAGTGGCAGTGCCAGGATTTGAACCCAGGTCTTTTGACACCAGATCCAACCTTTGTACTATATCACGACAGTATTGATTTAAGTGGTTGAATTTTGCTGTCATTACTTTAACGTTTCTCTTTGGTTTTCATCCCTCTTTTTAAAGCAACTCAGTTTCTGCATATGTAAATGAGAATGATATTATTATATCCTTTGTACCGTCTACTGTAATAAGCTTGTTTGAGGGTAGGTCGTTAATTATGTATGTGAAAGCCGTTGCCAAATAGTTAAGTGCTAGATAGCTGGAAGGGACCTTCGTGGTTGCTTAAGGAAAGGTCTTGAGCAGCTAAGCCCAACGTTGTCATATTAGTAGCAGAGCAGGGATATATACTTAGGTCTCTGGATTCTAAGCCAGCACTCTTTCTACTGTTCCTTGCTTAAAGCACTGTTGTTCACTTGCCACTTTATGGTTATTGAGGTCCTCTAAAAATCTGTCATGACTCTGTGATGATTCCTTTTATTTTCATTCTCTGGGGACTTGGGATATAAAGCACCCATCTTTGTAGTTGAAGAGTATGAGGGTAAAGCAGTTTTTCACTACGTTACTTCAACCTCAGAAAAGAAAAAAAAATTGAATTTGTGAGATAAATGTGGCTAAATTTTTTGAAAATGTGAGTACTATTTACTGTAGTAAAGGCTCTTAAAGAATTCATATGCTAAAAAATGGCATCAGGAATATAGTTAAGATAATTCTAATAATTTAAGACCATGAATCAGTAGTTATTAGAACCCAACAATGTTCTTAGTTGTTCAGTATAGGAATTGTGGAAGAATTTAGCAAGGAGGAAGGCTTGAATGAATTGTGGAATAAGAGAATTATATTTCTTGTGCTCTTTTTAAAATTTAGTTGACCAGATCATATTCTGCCTGTCTTGCTATTAAGAACCATCATTAAGATGCTGCTGTTCTTGGGAAGGTGGAGATGATAATATTTTCATTTTAGAAATATGTGAATGAAGGAGTATTTCAGGCTCCAAAGTACAAGGTGGGGAAATCTTGCCAAAAAGAATTATTTGACGAAAGGAAGACTGGCATAGGCCATTACAGAGGGTGAAGCTTAGTGGATTGGGAGCTGAATATGACATCTGTAGTTTCTGAGTTTATTGTATATACATGGATATGTGTGAGAGGGAGGTGGGGGGAAAAAAGCATTCAGATAATGACTAAAATGAGATGATCACATAACCACTTATTTGTACATCTATGTAGTAACTCACAAATATATTTAGGGAATGTAGTAATGTATTTCATTTGAGCTTTCCTAGATTATTTGGCTATTTCTGAATTGGGTTCCTATTAGGGATCATTTTATGCAATTAAAATTTGACTTATAAAACCGATAGGAGAATAAGGAAACCTAAGAAAAGATCATCAAAATACAGACTTATTGGATCATACGAGTTTTAGAGCTGGAACCGACCTTAGAGATTATCTAGTCCAAATCTCATTTTAAATGAGAAGAGTGACATATTCATGGTCATACAGATCCAGAACTACAATTCAGGTCTCCAGGCTCCTAGTATAATACTCTTTTCACTATTTCATACTGCCTTAGATCCCAAATGTATTTTGATTGGTAATTGAAATAATATGTGGGGATGTTCCCAAAGAACAGAGGTTCTATAGCCCATTCACTGAACTTGAAACATGTTAAGGCCTAAAAGAATAGTTCAAGGAGTGCTATGAGAGGAGCATATAGAAATGATAGCTACTCACTAGGGGAATTTGGGCAGCCTATACGCTGCACACAGTGGACTTTTGGTTGGGCCTAGTCTTGTTTCTGCATTGAAGATAGGAACATCAGGTTGGCCTGAATCGAGAAGGGTGATGAATGACTGAGGTAGCTTGGATGTGGTATGACAGAAGCCAGCCAGCTGCTTGTGTACAGTGCTGTTGGGAGACATGTTTTTATTACACTTTCTGGTGTGCTGGCTCTAGGGGGTATGCCGTCCAGTTCCCTTATTCGGCTGATGGTAGAGAATTATTACACTGATTTGATTATCTTCTGTGTTAAGGTAGGAATTCAGTAAAGAACATCAGAAGATGGTACAGTGTCTTCCTGTTCTATTGCTGCCTTCAGCTATACCTGTTAACTTTATTTTCTAGGCAGTTAACCTTTTCCAAAAACCAAATCTCCTGCTCATCTAATACTAGTTGTTTCTGTCCAATAATAATAACAACCTATATATAGAGTATGGATGTACATATATAGAAATGTGTATACATATATGTATGTGTATGTATACATATGTATAGTGTAAATCTATATAGAGAGCTGTGTTTACATATGTGTATATACTTTTAAAGTTTGAAACCCTTTTCCTATATAGAGAGCTAGGACCTGACATCTCAGTGTAATAGGTTTAATAGGTTAGTTTGTAAGACGGTTTTGTTTTATAGAGTGCTTATCACTGAGGGAAAATGCTTGAAAGTATTATATTCCCAACAGTGCTTGTTCTAAATTTTTGTTTTTTTCATACACTGAAACCCAAGTATTCCCTCTTTGAGCAGGTTATTTCCCCTACTTTAACTGACAAAGTTAAGACCATGGTGGACCCTTAACTCCTGTAGTGTTTACTCATCCTTTTAGCTTGTCAAAAAAGCATGCTGGGCCTGGAGTCAGGAAGACTTGAGTTCAAATGTGAACTCAAGATACTACCTGTGTGGTGTTGAGCAAGTCACTTGACCTCTGCCTCAGTTTCCTCAACTGTAAAATGTGGGTAATAATAGCACCTCCCTCTGAGGGTTGTGAGGATCAAATGAGATATTTGTAAAGATTTTGGCACAGTGGCTGGCACATAGGTGCTTAGTAAATGTTAGCTATTATTATTAATTTTCTAATCAAGGCTCACTTCTGCCATCTCTGCCATCCTTGTGCTCCTAAAATGACATTTTAATATCCCCCTCCCCAAACATTGTTTCCAAATGCTTTTTGGACCTTGAACATCTCTTTTTTTTTCCACTGACTCCTTCCCTGGACCCTTTAAAAAAAACCCAAAAACTCAGGTATCCCCTATCTAAACCAAAAACTTACCCAGTACCCAGCACTAACTACATTCTTGATCTCTCCCTTTACATAACTTCAGTCAACAAACATTTACTAAGCACTTTCTATGTGCTAGGCACTGTGCTAAGTGTTATGGATTCAAAAAAGCCCCTCAAACCTTGCCCTCAAGGGATGCACAATCTAAAGGCAACAATGTTCAAACACCTGTGTATGAAACAATAAGTGCCAGGCTGAGTTGGAGATGACGACTGAAAAGGGCTTCTTGTAGAAGATAAGGCTTTAGCTGAGACTTGAAGGAATCCAGGGAAACTAGGAGTCGATGGAACAGTTCCAGGCATGGGGGATAGCATTATGAAGATTCCCAGAACTGGGAGATGGAGTGACTTGTGTGAGGAACAGCAAGGAGGCCATTGTTGCTGGATCATAAAGTTCATGTGGGCAGGGGTTGGAATAAGGTGAAAGAACACTGGAAAGGTAGGAGGGGATCAGATTGTAAAGGGCTTTCAAAGCCAAATGGGATTATGTATTTGGTCCTTGGAGTGTTAGGGAGTCACCGGAGTTTTTAAATTTGGCTCAGGGGTGGGGTGAGACCTATGCTTTAGGAAGATCGCTTTGACAAGCAGTGGAGAATGGACTAGAGTGTAGAGAGATTTGAGGCAGGTGGACCCAGCAGTTGGCTGCTACAGTAGTCCAGGTGAAAGGTGGGTGAGAGCATGTGTAGACGAGGGGTGAGATGTTAGGAAGGTAGAATAAATGGGACTCAACTGCCCCCTGACTTCCATCTCTATCACTTGATGGTCTTGTACATATTAGATGTTAATGATTATTGAACTTACCCTTTTGGAGGTCAACAATTATCTATCAAATCTAGTGAGCTCAATCTCATCCTTCTTGACTGACCTCCATAGTTGTTGAGTGGGTCACCTAAGACTCTCTTACCTTTGCTTCCATAGCTTTTTCTCTTCTTTGATAGCTTCTCTGTTTCCTTCCATATATTATCTCCTCCAGTCTGCCTTGATACTAGTGTTCCTTCTTTTATCCTTTCCTCTCTGTATCATTTCCTTTGGACCTTTCCGGTTCACCTTTGGGAGGATTACTCTAGGCTCATTAGCCTTAACTGCTTTTCTGAATGCCAGACTCCCTAATTTCTTCAATTTATTTTTTGGGGGGTTTATTCTGAACTTAAACACCAAATAGAATGAGCATTTGTAGGTGAATAACAGAAGAGAAAAAGAGTACTTGAAACTGCAAATCTCCACTAGGTGCTGTTAGCCTTTAGCTAACTTAACACAGAATGTCACACTAGGATCTAAAGCTTGATGTCAGAAACCAATTCATTGCCCTTCACTCGTGACCTGCTCCTATTCTTCCTGTGTTTCTGTACTTCTGATAGCTTTATAGTTTTTTGAGTTATCTATGCTGATAATCTTAGCCTTTGATTCTCTGATTTCATCACATCTAATTGCTAAGTTCTGTTAATTCCACTTCTGTCCTCTCATTGTGGCTCTTGCTATGACTGTAATTCAGGCCTTTTATTACCTCTCAGTAGGACCAGTCTCTCAAGCTTGTTTCCTTCTGCCCCAATCCATCTTGGTCATCAGTCTTCATAATGCAGTGACTACTGGAAACCAGTGGATTCTCATTGCCTACTAAATTGTCACTAAGTGCAAGCAACCTGGGCATTCAGTGCCCTCTACAGTCTGGTGAAAGAGGATATTCCTTTTTTTTTTTCCCTTTTCCTACTCATGTGGGATGCACCAACCAACTTGCTCACTCTTATACAAATCATTCCATGCTTTAACAACTTTTCATTTCTGCTCACCTCCTTCCCTATGTCTAGAGTGCCCTTAATTTACCTCAGTTTCTCCTTCCAAACTTTAACTGTTAAAATGCCTCCCATCCTTTAAACCTGTGCTTACTTTCAGGAACCTGCTTATTTTGCCTGGCAGAAGTGATTTGTATCTTAACTTTTTTGAACTTATTATGTACTTATGTTCAGTCTTCTAATATGTAATTTATGTACTTCTTATTTCCCATATTAGATTGTAAGCTTCATGGCAAGACCATGTTTTATATATCTCAGTGTTACTGTCTAATGCACAGCATCTTGCTTTATATATAGTAGGAACTTAAGTGTTTGTTGAATGGATGAAGAGAACAAAGAATGTGGAGAGAAGCTGTTTGACTCATAATCTTGAAACACAAGAGATAGTTGTAAAGCTCAGGTTCTTTGACTTCATCTAAAGGATTTGTTTTAATGACATAACATGAAGATGGGAATGTTAGGAAGCCACTGGCAGAGCTTTAAAGGTCTTTGATGATCATCTCAGCCCTGCAAAACTAAGGACCCAGAGGTGTACCCAAGGGTGCCACAGGAACACTGGTTATTACAGCCATGTTAGGATGATTAGTCAAAATTTCCAGCATCCATTGAAATGATGATAGACGGTTCTACTGGGTTTAATAATAAAACAACACGTTTGATGTATTTTACTTTTCTCTGTTTTAAGCACTGGGCATTTAAATACAACTATTAAGAATACCTTTGGTATCCCATTTTTAGAGAGTATGCCTAAAATGTGATTTTGTCAAGTTGTAAATTGGAGTCTGGGAGAAAGACAAGAATTCCACATGGTCCAGATTTAGATGGCACAGTTTCTTTTTGATTTTTACTATCTTTTCTATTTTCTATTTATGTTATATACACATCAGTATTGAATTTCACATCTGTGGATCAACGAAATGGTTTAATTGGAGTATCTAGTTTTCAGAAATTTATAGTATCCGTTCATGCAAACCAGAAGTATCTTTGCTAATACAACACTTTCTCAACAATTTGCTTATAGTAAGTTGTTAATTGTGGTGTATGGGAGGCAGCTTGGTGTAAAGAGCCAGGAAGGTAGAGGCCACTGGTTTAATTTCTGGCTCTTGCTGTGTAACCTTGAGAAAGTCTTCTTGAGATAGTTTGTTCCTCTAAATGTATGGGTACCTCTTCAACTTAATGTGAGGATCAAGTGAAGTAAGGTAGAGAGCTTTGTGACTGCTGTTACTGGAAGGCGCTTGTCTCAGATTATAGACTTCTAGAAACTGAAGGACTATGTTGTTTTGTCACCACAGAATGAAATCATATATGTGAAAACCTTGAAACATCCTGCCCCCAAATAGATGTATCTTGTCAGGGTCAAAACGAGCTCTAGGCAAATGAAGTCCTTTCTTCTAGCGAAGAAAATTGAAAGGTCAGGGTACGGTAAAGTGCATAAAGTTTTTTGGTTACTATCCCCCAAACAGAACAATAGGCTATTTAAATGGGAGGCTGGGATGAGAAGAGGTAGAGTTGTATGTTCTTTACAAAAGTGCTAGTTACGCGGTTCATCCTTCCTTACATTTAACTGTACTAGGTCAGTAGAGAAGGAAACCGTGCTTCGGTGACTTAACCAGTGAACAGGTGGAATGGGGAGCCGGCTAAGGAGATTTCAGGGGCGGGACACAAGCTTACTGTGTGAAGGAAGTGCGATTCGTTACGCAGGGCTTGTGGGAGAGTTGGAAGTGAGTTGTGCAGTATCAAAACTGTAGAGGACCAGAACTTCCTTTTACATTTTCCTTTATGGGATCAACGGCCCTCAGGTGGGGAGCTCGGTACCTTTAGAAACACCCCCGCCGGCTCCTATCCCTTGGGCTTCTTAGCCCCATTTTCCATGAGAGGTGCGTGGCGGAGGAGGGGCCTTCTTTCGAACTTCAGTGTGATTGGCTTTCTCATCTCCCTAAGGGGCGAAGGCTGTGTGGTCCAGCTGGGGCGGGGGAGAAGGGGCGGAGCGGTCCCTCCTAGCGCAGCTTTAGTGGTAGCTTCGGCGGTGGGTACCCTGAGCGCGGGTAGAGGGCGCAGCGCTTGGCACGCACTGTGCGCTCGGAGCCATGCACAACCGCCGCGCTTAGTCCGAGCCTGCGGTGAGTTCGGCTCACCTCTGCTCCTGCGTCCTGGTCTGGCAGCCTCGTACTGTCATCTTCCGCGCGCCGTGCGCACCTATGGCGCTGGCCCCCAGGCCCCGGGCAGCCGCGCTCCGGACCCTGTCTACCCTGCTGCTGCTGCTGCTGCCGACCCCGCCGCCTCTGGGGCTTTCCCCCGGCAGCGCTGTGGGGCTGGATTACACCCGGGACACAGCCTTCGATTACTCGGCGCTGGAAGAAGGGGATGCTGTCCAGGAGCCGCTAGATTATCACGACCCCTGCAAAGCTGGTAGGTACTGCAGGAAGTGGAGCTGAAGTTTGCTTCCCCATTGCCCCGTGGCAGGGATGGCCATTGAGATGAAAATGAGATGTTAACATTCCTGCGCTGCTGTATTTCTTGCGAGTCCTCAGCCCCCAGGAGATCTCCCACCTCCACGGAGTGTATCTCTTGGGGGGGGGGGGAAGACAATGCCCAGCGGGGAACTCATTAAATATCACTTAAGGGCACTCACGCCTTGGCTGCTTCTGGAGCGAGGATAGGGTGACGAGGGCTTCTGTGAGAGAGGGGCTGCTGATCTGAGCTGGAGTGCCTTGGGATAAGATGGAAAACGGGGGAGGGGAGCTCAGCTGGTGATAGCAGAGAGAATACAGACGGCCAGGTGTCCAGGACCAGACACCTATCCGGCTGTTTGAAATTGGAGTAGGAGAATGGAGGTGACAGTGGGAGTGCAATGTTTTCCCATCTCGGAAGAAGTTGGTAGCTCCAATTTCTTTCTGTTTGCACATTTCATCCAAACTTTCCCATGATCTTTATTTGGTACTTGGAAAAGACCAAAAAGACTCCCCCGCACAACTACAAACAATACAAGAATGCGAGTGAATGAAGTTAGTTGTATGTTTCTAATTAGCCATCAATCCATCTCTGGAAAAGCACCGTAGCCCAAGCGCCCCAGAGCAGAGATGGAAACCAGCAGGTGTCCTAATCTCCACAGTAAACCAATCTCGAAGGGATCCGGCCAGCCTGCTAGTTCTCAGTCGTGCGGATCTCTGCCTACGTTTCCTTACCTCTCTCTCTTCACTCTCCAGGCAGTTAACGGATGCTTCTTTCTCGGAGGAGATAACGTCTCAAATTTTAATTGCGGAGAAATATAGTGCAAAAAGTTTATGTGTGTGTGTGTGTGTGTGTGTGTGTGTGTGTGTGTGTGTGTGTGTGTCCCTGTCCGAGCAAAGTAGGCTACTTGGAAAGAGTGTGTGATTTGGATCTATGGCAATTCCCACATGGATTAATGAGGGCACTTGACTTGGAAAGGATGTGATTGGCCGGCTGATTGGCTTTTGGCCAGAATCCAGTAGTGCTAAATTATTTCCTAGCCACCACTGGGCAATCTATAGTGATGAAATCAACGTCCTCGCCCATTTTGATTTTGTCTCCTTCACAGACAAATTAAAATAGAAAAAAAAAACCCAACCTCATGTGAAGAAAGTTACCTTGTCTTTTTCATAAAGGGACAGACTGGTTTCTGAAGATTTCTTAGGTAGTTGGTATCGGAGACAGCCTGAGTTCAAATCTTGACTCTACCACTTATTCTGTGACCTTGCCCAATTGACTTAATTTCCACAGAATCTCAGACTCAACAGGGATCTCAGATCTTGTAGTCCAGCCTGTTAGTGAACAATCTGCTTTAGATCAGTCCTTCTACAACATTCTCGACAAATAGTCATTCATCCAGCCTTTGCTTAAAGACCTCTAGTGAAGGGCTCCTCTACCCTGGTTAGACAACATCTGGATTATTGTGTTCAATTCTGGGCCCTACATTTTAGAAAGGATACTGATAAACCAGGGCGTCAGCATGCAGAAAGTACTTGAGATCATGCCAAATGAAGATCAGCTGGAGGAAAGCCATGCTTTCCCTAGAAAAGAGAAGCAGTCTCTCAAGTCTCAATTTTTTTTTCTTCTTCTTTAAAATGGGGATAATAATATTCATATTACCTACCAGTTTACAGGGTTGAGGTGAGGGAAGCACTTTGTATACTTAAAGCAGTAGTAAATGCAAGTTATTCTGTGCTTTTTCATTGAAGTGTGTCTATGTGGGTATGTATGTATGTGTGTGTATGTGTGTGTATGGGGGGGGTTGAATGCCATGGTACCAATTCGACCGAAGGAATATCCATGCCTTCACTTCTGGAAATTCATCTGGTTCTGGCCTTAGATAAGGGGGTCTGAACGGAGGGGTTCACCTGGCCCTAGTTTGCTTCTAAGCTAGAAGATTCCTGAGGGTTTGGATCTGCTTTAGGACAGTTCTTGGGTCCAGAATCACACCAGCACTGTACAAGTTGCATCATCTGTTTTCCAACCCTGACTAAATCCTATTGCATTTACCCTGATAGTGCAGTGATCAATTTTACCTTTAAGGAAAGAGGGTGGGATAATAGGTTTCATACTTGGTGTCATAGCTGAAAGTAAGGGCATATCAGTAAGTGGTGATTGCTGGGTTATTCACACACCTTGAGAGAACTAACCTTATGTTCAGGGAGGAAGACTCCTGTCTGCATTGTTAGAAGACTGACCATGCTCAAGCAAGAAAGAAGCTGCTTATGGATGCCCATTGTGAAGGTCAGGAGAACTTTAGGAAGCAGTGTGGTCGATGGCTAGGACAGGGTGAATCCTGGAGAAGGGGCAAGAATAGAACTGTATTCCCTTCTTTGCCCCCTTGGCCTGGTCCTGCTGCCTTACTTTCCCTGCCCTGGGTCTCATTCCTCTTTGGCTGACAATTCTGAAACGTAGCAATGCATAGTGGAGTCAGGATTGCTGAGACTTGGAGTCAGGGGGTGTGGATTTCAATCCTGTTTTAGACATTGACTAGTGTGATCATGGTAAACCATTTTACCTTGGGTTTTCTTCACATTCCACGATTTATCTTGCAGGCTTGTTGTGAGGAATTCTTTGCAAACCTTCAAGTGCTATAGAAATGTAAATTGTCATTCAGGGATTCCATGATTATACAAAATACTGTTTTTCTGCCTTGCTTTTTTTGAAGGCGCCTAGAGCTGACAATGTGGGGGGAAAGCTGGGGCAGAAGATGAAAGCTATAGTTTTTCCCTGCTTGTTGCATCCTTAGCAGCCTCCTTTCATCTTCTTAGTTCTCCTTAACCCTTTAACTCTTTAACCCTTGAAAACTGTCAGTGGGGAGTGTCCAGGCTTGAGCAAGAAGGGTGCTCAAAGTGTATCTTCATTATTCCTTGCACTCTTAAGATTCTGTGCTCCTCCCCTTTTTTTTTTTGTCATCTGTGCCCCTAGTTAGCTCAGCATGATTGGGACCTTTTCCTGACTCCCTTCTCCTAGTCAAAATGGGTTGGTGCTGTGTTCCCTTCTGTTTGTTCCAATTGTCTGCTAATTGCTGTTATGAATGAATCCATCTTAATAGCTGCCAATGCTGTCTCTCATAAGTAGCGTGTTTGCATTTTGACAGGTGTCTCCCAGAGTTAATGGTCTCCCTCCTCTCCTCCACCTCTTAGGATCTTTAGCCTCTTCCCAAGCTCATCCCAAGTACCCTCTCCAACATGAGGCCTCCTTTCCTTATCTCCCCCCACCCAGGTTAGTGCCTCCCCTCCCAGTCCCCATTACTTTGCCTTTATTTTGTATATACTCATGTACTTATATACTTAGTATTTTGTTCATACCTGGTATTTTGTATCTGCTTATGTGCACTTGTTTTCTTCCCTAAAAGAATATCAGCTCCTTGAAGGTAGGTATCATTTTGTTTTTGTCTTTGTTTTTCCGGTGTTTGGCACATAGTAGGTGCTTAACAAATGCTTAGTCATTAACTCACTGATTTGAGATATCAACAGACTTTCAAAGGTGTCAGGTGTGTTGAGGTACCAAACCCTGTAATGTACCTGGGGCCAAGCCACAGGGAAGGAGGAAAAAGAGCTCTGAAGAGAATGGAATTAAAAAGTTGTGTTCGAGAGGACCTGTGTTCAAATCCCAGGTGTGCCATTTACCACCTGCATAGGCTTCCAGCTACAGAAATAACAGTAGTTATGGAAGAGCAAAAACAAAGGAAAAACCATAAGATCATAAGTCTAGACCAGAAATAGCCCCAGGGATCTTCTAGTCCAATCCTCTCATTTTTGTAGATAAGGAAGCTGAGGTTTAGAGAGCCTTGTCCAAGGTTACACAGTAAGTAGCAGATCCAGTATTGGAACTCAGTAACTCCACCCAGAAATATACATGACCCAAGCTAGAGGAGCTTTTGATCCTAAGTGGCCTTAAACCCCAAAGTCAGTTTTATATCCAGGGAAGGTCCTTTAACTCCATTAAGGGATTAGTTTTACTCAAGTCTAGAGTCAAAAGCAGGGTTAGATAAAACAAACAATGATTGCTAAAGATAGGAATTAGTGAATTCCCAATTGTATCTAAGTTCCTATTTCTTTAAATTTTGTGGTGATTTTGTATAACTTTAATAAACACAGAGATTGGCAATATTAATGTTTAGGCTTAGCTATTTTTTTATAGGGAGTTATATTCTTTATTTTTAAGAATGCTTGAATTAAAAAAAAAAACCCAAGGTGAAATCACAACAGAGAAGAAATAAAAATAATTACCAGAACCTACTATACAATTATATGTCAACAAAGTGAGGGACTTAAAATTTAAAAGATTACCTAAAAAGACAAGATAACCAAATTAACAGAACCCCCAAAGTGATCTTTAAAAAAATCTAAAGATGAAAATGAAAGTTGAGTGGAGATAGATTTATAGGTGAATTATAAAGTTTCAAAAAATAATAAATACCTGAAGTATAAAAATTATTCTCAAAAATTGAGAAAGAAAATAGTTCACCAAACTCCTTTTATTTGATATATAAATCTAATGCCTAAACCATGGAAGGGTAAAACAAATAAAGAGAACTATGATAAAAATTGTCATCAATGGATATTGATTCAAAAGTTTTAAACGTAATCCTAAGCAAGGGTAGTTGAATATAAAATTCATGGTTCTGATTTGTGTCTTAGAGAGAAGGAGAAAGAGTGAGAGAGAGAGAGAGAGAGAGAGAGAGAGAGAGAGAGAGAGAGAGAGAGAGAATGCCTTGTCACTTGGATAATGCCTCCATGACCAAAGAAAGGATCTGTTTGATGGGGATAACAATAGCACCTACCTTACAGAGTTGTGAGGATCAGATGGGATAACATCTGTAAAGTGCTTTACAAACTGGAATGCACTCTAGTACCTTTTGGAGCTTCTGTAGCTGGGGTTGGAACAAAAGGGATATGTTGGAGGTTAAAAAG